AAACACGCAAAGTCCATATACGAATTTAATGTACTATTGAAAATTGCCATTTGGGAATTTCATTATTCTCCATATTAAATTCAATGGTAATATAGTTTTTGTTTTTGTTTTTTGGATATACACTTTCGTCATGAACAATATTACCAGCCGCATACACGACCATTGACAAAGGATAAAAATTTTGACCTACAATATAATGCAACCATTGGACATCCGTATTAGAAATTTGAATATAACTTTTTTAAAAATTTTCATCATTCATTTTTTCGCTAGCATCGAATTCAATTGTCAAAAAAAGAGAACAAAAAACAAAAACAAATAACAAATAATGTCTATAATAGAATTCCAAACTGACAATTCAATTTGCACATTTATGTTGACAATAAGGATAACAAGAATTCGATTAACTAATATTTGATTTTAGATTCAAATCAATTGAATAAGTGAATGAATGTATGAGTGATTGTAATTTTGTTTGATTTCTATAAATCTCAGAATATATTTTCTCCCTGTATGTGAACGTGTGCGTTTTGATTTTTTTTTCATCATCAGCATCATTGCGAATGAAGATTGACATTGATGATTGCAATATGATTAGGATAACATCATCATCATCGATGAATAACAAGAATTTTGAACGTTAAAGAATTTATTTTGTTACACTTTTTTCCATCAGAAAAGACAAATTTGTATCTAGTTTTTTCTTTCCACTATTTTTTATCATATATCAAATATTTGTTCAAAATCAATCATCAAACATTTTTTTTGATAGAACAAGAAGAATTTTTTTATGTTCATCTTTAATCAAGATTATTTTTTCTGTTTGAAGCTTTTTTTTCTGAAAATTTTTTTTTCTTTGATAGATTATTGTTTACATACACATAAGCAAATAACATGTTCATGTTTACAATGTCTTCAGGATATTGAAAAAAAATAAATGATAAGAAATTAAAATGAAGACTTTGGACATGATAAACATTTTCTTACAACAAACAAATATCTGATTGAATCAATCTATTCATATTAATTGTAAACATAGTATGATGAATCATCGGATTCTTTTTTTTTGGCAATTTATTTGAAATTTCCGATTTTGTTTTTTATCATTATTATTATTATTATTTTCATCATACCCGTATGGTTTATTCGAAAAAAAATAAATAAATCTACAAATCGAATAAACATGACGAAATAGCTCCGGGCAGAAGAATCACAATATGTGTATATTGTTGTTGTGTATAAATAAAATAATAATAAAAAAACTAACGGAACATCAAATTGGAATTGAAACCAGAAAAAAATGGCTGCAGCAAATTCCCCGACGGCCATTGATGGAGGCAAAGTTTTTTTTGAAAATTCTATCAATACATACTTATCGTCAATTTCATTATCAAACTAAAATCAAATATATATACATTATTTTCAGATAAAATAACTTTTACTATTTACCCAATTGATACAGATTTGTTGTTGTTGTTGTTTCTTGTGACAACAATACTTTTGGGGATTTCTTTTTGATTTATCCAGACAGGTTGAAATCATTCTGAATGAACATTTCGAGCAAAAAAAAAAACATCATTTTTTCATTTAAATGTGGGCTCACATAGTCTAAATTTACAAGGCAACAAGCATAACAAAATAACAAAATGGATTATTCTAGTTCGTGACATAAACATTTTTTTTTATAATTCCATAGATTCTACAAATTTGATGCCATATTATTTCGATATAATTGCAAAAATATTACAAAATAATAGACCAATAAGAAAAAAAAGGAGAAAGTGATCAGACATTTGTTCGGGAATTATCATCTGCTACGACTACTATTGGTGATAATAATAATGATGATGATAATGGTAATCGCAATGCGTATAATTTATGAACTTCAAACTATTGTGAATATAATGTGGATTATAAACACGCGCAGCAACAAACAAACAAATGATAATAGACAATGTTTTTTCTTCACTAGCCTGAATCTCAACTAGTTTGTCAATGATTCTCGTTTGAATTTCAAATCATTTCTATTTGTATTCGCATAAAGAACAGATTTGTTTGTTTTTTTTTCATATGAATTATGATGCTATAATAAAGCATTTGTAAATTAAAGGAACCTCATTCAATGATTGAATCATTTGATGGTTTCTTGGAAAAAATTTTTGGAAAAACAAAACATTTCCAAAACGTCAATATAACGAATGTTTAGAAATTTTTGCCAGTGATCATTATGGCCTAATGATGATGATGAATCAATAATTTTTGGCCAATAAAATGATGATTCAAACATTTACATACTTTTTAGATGTAGTCATCACTAACTAATGAGAAGTAAAAAAACTAAAACAACATAACTCGATTAATTTACGATTTCCGTATGAATCATCATTACAACTATAAAACATTTCAACATAGTTATATCATGATCTCGAATTACTATTCCAATTGATGATTGATCATTGTCAACTAATGGAAAAAAACGTAAATTTCAACAAATTTTTTGTTTTATTTGTATTGAATTTTCATTCATTCAGGATCTTATAGATCAAGTTACCTGAATTGGAAAAATCATTTCATCAGGAAAGAATGGAAATTATGAAATCTTATTAAAATGAGTCATTCCTTTCGACCAGAATATTTGTAAAAAAATGAAAAGAACATTTGTTTTTTTACATGGTTCATGTTCATTTTCCTTATTTATTTATCATAATATCAGATTGATTCAACCGGACAATGTCCATTGAATTAATTTTATACACTGTGTATGTGTTGGCTAGAATATGAACGGAAATGTTGCTAAAATGAAGTAAATTGGATAAAATTACATTCTACTGTTATTGGTTGTGATTAGTAGTTTGTCGTTAGTTTTTGTGTAGATTTTATCTTCTTTACATCCATATATTCCTAACCATCATTTACTGATTGTATAATGTACATCATTGTTCACAATCACAACCTATTGTATATTGTATTCTCTATCTGCTAATGTCATTTACATTGAAAATAACAACAACAAAAGAAAATTGTAATGACATTTTGGCTTTGAATGTCATCGATCGTATCTGCTTGTATTTTGAATATATAACAAAAACCATACCAAATGATGATCATGATGACTAATATTCTGTTGCTTGCTTTTGTTGTTGTTGCTGTTGCTATTAGATTTCAACACCAATGAAGAATATCGAGCAAGCTAATATAATTCATTTCATGAAATGGTAATTGAAATTTCATAACTAATCATAATTCACATTATTCATTCTCTGGTCATTTATTGTTATTTGAGAAATGTTTTTTTTTGTTGGGCACATCATACAGAAGCATGCTTCAATTCAAAGCTTCTTGTTTTTTCTTCCAATCATTAAAATGAAAATAAAATATTCGATTGCGTGACTTATAAATATACTTTTCTATTTCTATCCTTTGAATCTATATGGTTGATGAATGAATAAAAAAAAATTCGGATTGCAATTATTCCTTGATCGGATTTAGACATGGCTTCAATCTTTTTTCTGATATCAATAGAATGAATAATGATTTGAAAAAAATGAAAAATCTTCTATTTTTGCTTAACATTTGTTTAGAATCGACACGTTGTAATATTTATCTTTCGTACGTTTGTCATCACATACACTTATTCGGATTGATCCTATAGGATTATTCCTAATGAATGTGTTATCTCTACTCGCATGATAGGTTTGCTTGACTTGACATCCGAAAAAAATAATTTCTAGGTTCATTCGTGTGCGTATGTTTGTGTGTGTGTGTCTAATAATATAATCAGTGCATGTTCAAAAGTAAGTTAGTTATTTGTTTCGACTGGAATAATCGCGGATGACCGAACACACAAAATACTAATCAATGGATGTTTTTCTGGAAATAAAATTGGACGCGTGTCATGTATTTGTTTGTTTCACAAAGAATGAAATAAAATGCGAAGGGTGAAGGTGAATATCGACGGAAAAAATAAACTAGCTGACTGACACACACTCAGAAGAAGTGATAAGAATAAAGCGTAAAATCAAGAGAAATTTCAAAAAAAAGCAAACCGTATCATTAGTGAACAAGAATTAGTTTTTTTGCTAGCTTTCATCATATAGTAATAATAATCGTACGAATGCATCCATCATTTTTTTTGGAACGAAAAAAAATCCCGATTATAATGTTGTTACTATGATTCAATGTAATAATCATGATGACCTTCAGTACAGATGCCTTGTCTAATTTGAGAGCTTAGAATTATAAATATAATCCACTTATGATTGTCACTAAAATAAATGCTCATCATCATCATTATAATTGACAAGTTTGAATGATTCAAATCCTAGCTAGCGTCTGTTTTTGCATTGCTGTTTTTTAATATTGTTTTTTTTCAAAAATACACTTTATAGAAATCGTATCTAAAATTATACATTTGTTTAATGTAAAATCTATTATCTAGAATGAGGATCATCTTGACAGTAATGAAAAAAAATCTTTTCATAATAATTTCAAATAAATCTCGTTTATTTTGTTTTTTGTTGTTGTATCCATTGTTATTCAATTTGAAGAAATTGTATTTCTTTCCAAATAACACAATGAATGAATTTTCCAATTCTAACGAATGAATCTTTTTTTTATCAATTGTCAAATTCAATATTTTCAAGTACATTCTATAAAGTACTTGATCATTGATGCACTCGATTCTCTTGGTATTTTTTTTTCTTGTTCATAACTTTTCTGAAATCATGTTTGTAATAAATTTTCGGTTATATGTAGGATTCTTTGTGAATCAAGAATAGAATTATTACTTTCTACCTTTTCTCAAGAAATTGTGTTCATAAACTCATTGTTTTTTCATGGTCACGTATACGATGCTAGAATAGATTTTGTCATTGCCATTTTTTTTGCAACTTTGTCGGTACATTTTGTCAAACAACGGAAAATTATCCATTCCAGTCATTTTATAGTGCGCGCCACGAAATCGTTATATATAGCACGAACAAGGAGAAACTATCGATAGTATTCGTCCTTCACTTGGATAGCCGGCTCACATGCTCTTTCTTGTTTTTCATTGTTTTGAAAGTTTTTTTTTGTTCCAACATCAATACCAAATTGTTTTCAATTAAGATTTATTCGTTAATTTTTTGAAAGACAAACAAAATTGATTAAAAATGTCCGGACGTGGTCAAAAAATCCAAAAGGTTATGGTTCAACCCATCAATCTAATTTTTCGATACCTACAGAATCGTGCAAGAATTCAAGTTTGGCTTAACGAAAATATCAATCTTCGTATCGAAGGTCATATTATTGGTTTCGATGAATATATGAACTTGGTGCTTGATGATGCCTACGAAGTAAATCAAAAAAGTAATACAAGAAAAAAAGTTGGTTGTATCCTGCTTAAAGGCGAAAACATAACCTTAATAATGAACACCGAGCAGGCCAACTAATCAAATAGTATTCGGTTAATATCATCACCATTTTGGAACAGTTTTTTGCTTTAACTTGATGACCTCATCAACATCATAACCATCTTTATTATCGTAAACATTGTAATTGTATTTCATTTTTTTTTCTAAATTCAAATAAATTTTTTAATATCTTATTGATGAGTAATTGCATTTTTATTTGATCAAAGAAAAAGTCCACATTTTTTCTGCTGTCAAGTCCATAAAGCGCCATGTTTATTCTGATTATGATTGATTAGGTTGACGATGATGATGATAAACGAATAAAAAAACTGGTCACAGATGTATGATAAAATCATGATGAGTTTTTCAAGTTGATCAATTTTATAATTTTTCTGAAACATAATCTACAATGTTAATTTTAGTTTAAAATTTTACTTTTCAGCATTAAAAATTTATCATTATGATTGGATGTTGAAATTTTGGACAGTAATTTTTTCGACAAATGTTTCTTTAGAAATTAAATATGAAATAGAGAACACTATACTTTTTCATTGAAAAATTTTATAGATGCCGATGATTTAAATCAATTTTAATTGGGATCCATATTACCAAGAGAAATATTTCAGGTCATCATCAACCGATCACACACGTATAACCAGCCATCAATCGATTTGATAATTGTTTCAAAGAACAAATTTTCTTGTTTCATTATTGATATAATGTGTTTGTGTGTGTGAGTGTAATTGTGTTCTCGACATAATTTGATGGATGCTATATTTTATTGACAAAACATTTGGATTCGAATTTGGAAACAATTGGAACAAATAAATATACAAACACACACGTGTGCCATAGCAATTTTTCTTTAGACACGAAATTATTTTTGATTGGATCCCAAATAGATTCAAGGAGATCCATTCTAAATTTATTGTTGATGGCAACCAGCTGGCGACCAGTTTATTTTCAATGACATTTTGAGTTAAAAAATGATCGATCGTTAGCCATAGCAGAATGTTTCAAAAAAAAAACTAATGAATGGAACGTTCGACTGGTGGGTGGGTTGCTGACTGGTTGGTTGATTGGTTAGTTGCATGGTTGATTGTGTGAACGATAACGGAAAAGCAAAATTGGAATTTGAAAGCAAAGTGAACATCATTGTTTTCAGGTAAATGTTTCATTCGAAAAATAAAAATAAATTTAAATGTTATTTCGTTAATAAATTTCAGAATTGTAATCTTTTTTTTTTTTGGCTAGAATTGATTAATTTTAATGATTAGATAGTAATCAGTTTCAAAAGTCGCGTGCACTACACTAGCGAAGGAAAAGAAAGAAACATCATTATAGAATTTTGGTTCTATTCGTGAATGAAAATGATGCAACCACCACTAATTATTGAAGATTGATTCTATAGTAGAGAATATCTGGATTTCAATAATAATCACAGCAACTTTAGCAATTATTCCGAAACCAAAATGCATCTTGTTATAATAATAGGTTTCATAATGAGTCTTATCAAATGAAAAAAAAACTTTGAATCGGATGCAAGTATCGAAAAAAAGACATTTACCCAACTGATAATTCAGTCGAAGAGAAACCCGACTGAAAACCATTATTCAAATTAGATTTTTTGAATTTTTGTTTTTACATAACAATCATTTCTCATTGAAAAAACTAAAACTAGTGATTTTTTTCTCACTCAAATTTTCGAAATTATCATAATCATCGTGTCATTTGATCCACAACTATAACTAACGTATAATTTTGATGACAATAATATTCATTCATCTATTGATGATGTATATAAATAACATAGGATTATCGAAATATTTTCAAAAAAAAGTTTCAAAAAAATTTACGAAATAAAAAATCCAAACTTTTATCATTCATTATTGCGAAGCATTATCATATTTCTATGATGATAATATCATTGAATTTAATAGTTTTAAATTATGGAATATGAATATCCGACATTAGATAGTCGAAACTTTTTATAATGTGGCCAAACAAAAAAAAATAGTCATCATCATATAATATAATAGAATATATTTGTCGATAACAACAAACTTTGTTATCTGCGGTCGATTTCCTTCGACTATATTTTTTTTCATTTAATTGAAATTCTCTTTCGTTTTTTTTCTCTGCTGTCACATCTTCTATTGCATCAACAAAAAAGCAACGAATCAGGCTAGATTAGGACACGTGTCTGAATCCATTGTATTTTTTTCTTTTTTTCTTTTTGGCTGATTGTTTGTGTGCATGAATAGAGAATTTTCCGTTAGGTATATCTCCTAAGTGATATTATCAATGAATTTTTTTTTTCATTTTCTATAATCAAACATCCATTCATTAGCAATGAACAAAAAAAGTACAGTAAACAAGACCACAAACGATTTCATAGATATTATTATTATTCAATATAAAACGAAATTCCAACAAAAACAACAACAACGACAAAAAATGACACTAACTTGTGACAATATGTGACTGTCCACAGATATATATTGCGTTTTGATCAATCAAACATAAAGCATTTTTTCCATTACCTTGACAATAGGCATCATCATCGTATCCCAAGCGATTTTATTTCATTTCAAAAAATATGCTTCACCTTGATAAAAATGGTTCAGTTCAATTTCTTTTTTTTTCGATATAAATAATGTAAATCAAATGATTATGATTATTATGATGAATCTGCTTATAATCGACATATCGATCTATCTCCACATGAATATGATGAATTCTAAATTAACAGTGAACACGTGTCTTGATCACTTTGATGATGATGATGACGAAAAATGTCCATCATCATAGTGATCATAAAATGGTTTGATCCGAAAAAAATGAATTAGAGATCGCAATGAACAAAAAATATGTTCACTATTCAGAAGAATATAATTAAAAAATAAAATAAAAATACCAGGGATCAATGTGCTTGTCAAAACAAACATGGTCCTTTTTTCTATTCATGCTTTCATTTCATTTCAATTTTTTTTTTGACATAAATACCCAGCACCAATAAAGATAGGGAGAGAAAGAGAGATTGTGCATATATTACATCATTGTAAAATCAAACTATTCGGTTGTCATTGGACGAATTTGGAACGCGCTACAAACAATGACATTGTCAACAATATATATCTCATCGTCGTTATACGTCAATCAAAAATATTTATTAAAAAAAGAATTTTTTTTAATCTTGACAGCAGAAAAAATTTCTGAGGAAAGAAAAAAACATCAGTTTTTTTAGATTCGTTCGCTTATTCTGAACCCTCTGAATATCTTCTTGAATAAATGAATTAATTATGAAAATTGTATTGTCCAACTGCAACGGATGATGAGTGAATGAACACAATTCATAATCCAATTAATCCTTTGAGACAAAACACTCATATACACAAACAGACCAAATTGTCAATTATGTGGATTCAAAAACATCTGGTGATACGCAAATGAATATGGAATTTTTTTTAGAAAAAAAGTTACAATGAAAAAAAAATTTCACAATATTTTTTAATTTACAATTTCGAATCAGCGCGACACGTGTGAAAAAAAATAGAATTTATTCGAAAAATTCATCGGTCTGTGACCGATTCAAAAGCTTATCAGTATCAAAACATTCGCCAATAACTATATATTTGATAGACATGGAAAAGAAATAATTCGAAATGGTTTAATTCGGTTATTATGTTTGGATATTTCAATTTTCAATTCAAATTATATATTATTTTTAATAATTTCAGATAATCAAAATGAAAATTTAATAGAAATTAAAATTCAAATAAATTTAATAATCAAAATTCGTGTATATCATTGGCAAGAAATTTCATTTGATCACCATCGGCTATAATTAATGTATCACCTTTAATAATTGGTCGTAATAATCGATCAGAAATATTTGTATCGAATAAAGAAAAATCTTTAGCAAAATAAGCTTGTCGAAGACGTTTATCATTATTTTTACCAAAATATTCGGCTTCATCCATATTTATACAATAACATAATCGACCATTATCGATATTCCAAAATCGAACAATATCATCGGAACCTGAACTAATTATTAGATTCCTTTTTTGATCAATATTGATTTGATGAAAATAGCTAGTATTGTAATGATTTTCATATTCAATAACAGATTTAGCATTGCGACCAAACATTCGTTTGTCAAATTGTGCTAGATAATGCTCGCTACCGGATACAATAACTCGATTTTCGCCTAGTTTATGTATGTCTAGTATACATGAATTTCGAGGTCGATGTGAATTTCGTTGCTTTTGTAAACAATTTCGTATCTGATTTAGATCGACAAATTCAATAGTTCCATCAGAATAACCTATAACAGCACAATCATCGCCAGAATCAGGATCGCTTTCAAAATCTATACACTGAGGAACTCTTGGATGTGCTGCCTCAAGGACCATATGTGCAATTCCACAATGAGGATTTGTTCGGGAAGACTTTTCTCCCAATGCAAAAGAATGATGTTCTTTTAAAATTAATGCTTCATTTTCAATAATTTCGTAGCGTTCATGACAAGATGAATAGATGAAATTTTTTTTACCCGGTTTTCCCACCATTTGAATTATATTTAATTGTGAGATAGAATCTTGATACGGTTTCATTAGTATTGAGTTATTTGGATTGAAGGAAATAATTGTTTGTTGTTTTATATGAGTTAACGTTTTATTGTTTCCTATTGCCACTATTTGAGAGTTTTTCGGCTCGGAACGTGTTGAGTAAAGATTAAAGTGGTAAAATCGACGATGTCTACAATTTTCAAAAGTATCATAAAATGATCGATGAGAAACAACAGAACCAAATCTAGAGTGCAGATAATTGTTAACACCAGCAAGCTCCAATGCACGACGTTTGTTTGGATGGTATTGCGATTCAAAAAAAGCTTGAGCTAATGGTTTTATATCCGGTAATATTGTTTGTTGATAATATTGTTTGAATTCACGGGAACGTCGTTCACGTTCCGAACGTTGACGAAGTTCACGAGGATTTTTTGTCATATTCAACTGATTTATATGATACCACAACGGTTGACCATCTTCAATAATCACTCGATGAGTTTGTTCAAATGAATTGGCCATTTCTTTAATTTCTAAATTATCATAATCGATGAAAGTTTCCACAAATGAACTCATGTAAATCCTGAATCCCAAACAATCATCACTGCCATCTTATGGTCAATTAGATTGTTTGCAATTCCATTATGTTTACATTCTGTTAAATAAAAACAAACTTTATGCCACATGAAATAATGTTGTTATATAGATTTTCAAATTATCATTTCAGTTCAAATGTCTTTAAATAAATGTTGGCATCATATTAATCGTATATGGACAATTCGATGTTGGCGAATGAAACGTATTGCTATTTGTTCATCGATCATTACGGTCATCATCATAATCATTTATTTGACAATAATGATATTTTTATTATCGCCTAGCAAAAATAAAAACACAATTTCGGACTATCTGACAACGATCGTCAACGAACAAGAAGCTAGTGTTGATAATGAAATGAATGATGATGGATTTTCATCTTTACGGCGTCAACATCGATTGAAAGAATCGAATTCAAATCTCGAAGATGATGTACAAATTAACCAGCCTTCATTGAGCATTGACCTAAAAAGTAATAACCAATCTTCTAAAAGCTCAATAACAAAAGCCAAACATTTAGCTATTAGCAATGGTGACAAGAGCATGATCATTTCTGGAATTAAATGTCGCAATTCTATGCAGGGGAAACTTTTAATTACTGATGATCGAGGCCGTGTTTGTCAACGTCAACATATAAACATCAATGGTTGTTGCAATGATCAACATTTCGAAACAAAAAAATTTGTCTGCGATACTTGTCAGGTATATTCCATGATTAAATCTTACTGAATAACAATTTTGATTGTCCATCAATCAGCCTAATAGATGTTGTGAAATTTACGAACATTGTGTATCATGTTGTATGGCACCTGAAAATCGCGATCATTTAAATGAAATGGTTAACGAAATTACGAATGCTGATGAAAAAGAAAAGAAAATGCGTAAATCATTGCAAATATTTCTTTCATCCATTAGCGATTCGTTTGAATTATGTTTAATAAAATGTCGTACATCATCTGCCTCGGTTCGACATGAGAATACATATAAGAATCCTCGAACAAAACATTGTTATTCATTCATGACTGTAGAGTTATTAACACAACAACAATAGCAGAAATTTTAATCAATGTAATCAAGTTAAACACAAAATTCGGACATAAGCAATAATGAGCATCTCAACAATTTATAATCAAAGTGTAATACAAAAGGCTACAGCCTGGGTTTTGTAAATAAATTATTTATTGTTAATAAAATAAAATCAAATTAAAATGAGTAAAAAAAGTATTTATAAATACTGTACTCAGCCAAACAGCATCAAATATCAAAGTTTGAGTTGTAATGTCACGGCATTCTCATTCCGCTTCCTGTGATAGCAGAAAAAGTACCAATACTTCTGTGTCCTGTTCGTGTGATAGCAAAAAAAGTTCCAATCACTCGGCATCCTGTTCATGCTCAACATCAGGCTCAACGGTATCAGGATCAACATCACAATCGACAAGCAAAAGTTGCTCTTGTTGTTGTTCGTCAACAAATCAAAGTAAAACAAAATCTTCGACATCATCATCAACATCTTACATGACAACTGATTTTGATGAGGGAATTGAATCTACGATTGGTTCGAAAATATTTCATGCCGTTGACGATATGGTAGATGTGGCATTATCTCAAGCTAATCATGAACTTGATACCCAATATGTATCCGGATCAGGAGCGTCGTCCTGTGCGTCTAGATCCTTGAACACGACATATATTTCTGGATCGAGTGCTGTATCATCATGTGTTTCGAAGAATAACTATTCTGGCCGCAATTTCAATCAAGCAAAACTAGTATCAACATCAAGCAACCAAGGTGTACCAACCAGTTTATTTAGTAATTCGACTGTTTCGAAAAAATCGTCGATGAACACTTCCACTAAACCATCTTCAAGAGCTCAATCGAAAACATCATCAACATCGAATACAAGTAAAGCATCATCGACCACTTCCGGTTTAAACCTAAGCAAAAACAGATCAACGCATACAAGTGGCAGAAAATCTCTTCACAAATAAAATTGGTCGAACTTTATTTTAAAATTGATCATTACAATTAATAACAAATTATTGTCAGCTAATTGATATTTCTAAAAATATGCTACACACAACAAATGCCACATGTAGAAGGAAACAAATGAATGAAAATTGTTTTGAAATTTTCCAATCGCATTGTTTAAATGTCAAATATAAGAGGGCAACGATGCCCAATAATAATATAGATGTATAAGGCAATGCACTGCTCTGTAATATAATCATAGATTTTTGATAGGTTCCAGTTTTAATCCAATTCAAAGAGAATTGTATGGCCCATGGTAAACCCAGGCCTAATAGAATAGCAAAAATATTTGATGCTATTGCTGCACATATTCCCATGGAAGCTTGGCCAGTTTTTTTGATGACAATAATCGATGTAACAAGATCAGGTACAGCCGATCCAGCAGCTAAAATGGTCATCCCCGAAATCGTTGATGGTATGCCGATCATATCGCCTATAGAAATTTCGAGATCATGAGTAAATGATAAAAATCATTAGTAAAACTTACTTAGACCGCTAATTGACCATACGGTCACATATGATAAAAGCGACAACCAAACAATGGAGAAAAAGAATGTTACCACTGGCCATTTTGCTGGCATTGTAATTGAATATATCACTATGAACGGCATCAATATGATACGCAGTATTATATTATTAGTAAAGCCGACACCATTATCATCACATTCATCGCCCAGTTTTTCATAATCCGATTTTGACTTTAATAATTTTGCATCCTGGACAATTATGTTCTCGATAAATATTTCAAATTTAAATTTATCTTCAAATTTTTCATTGCTATCCGGTTGTGGTTGTTGATGATTGTGATTGCTTATTCGATTATCTTTAATCAACAAATTGTTGATCTTAGCAATTTCATTGCATTTGTTAAGGTATTCTTTCATGATTTTGTTTTTGCCATTTTTTGTAATTGGAGATTTTTCGGTTTTAAAATTATTATCAAAATTGATTGTTAAATTGGGAAGATGGATACCACCTGTTGACAATGGTTGTTGTTGGTTATTGTTCTGTAAACATTTTCGATCATTTTCGGAATGTTGTTTTTGTTGCAATGGCTTTTCAACCGATTGAATCGGTGAAAGATTCTGCGGTTTTTTTTCAGGTTGTTCTTGGCCACTAGTAGCACTATAGAACATGACACCAATATATACCACGAATAATATCGTGAATAGTAATGAATCAATACTATTTATATGATGATTATGAATCAAATGAGAAATAATAAATTAAAATAAAACAACTTACAAATCGACAGTATTGTCTTTAATGGCCAATATCAGGACAATAATTGATATAAAATAGAAAGTAAGGTCACGAAGTACGGCATGTTTATCCAATCGAATCGATTTGCCAATGAAATATGCAGCAGCCAATCCCGATGCTGCCGGTATTGCCAATATATTGAATACACCACTACCAATGATGGCTCCAGTACCAATATCATTTTCGGTGAAAAATACACCGATAGCTGAAGAGAAAATTTCAGGACCAGATGTACCAAATGGTATAAGTATAGCACCGATAAGGTCGTCTCTGAGATTCAATGCTAAATAGAATTCAGGAAAATTTTTATATTATAAATTAAATTTTCATTATTATCATCAGTAACGAACTTTGTCCGATGCTATTCAATGAAGGAACAAAATATTCGTCACAAAGATAACCGATAACCAAGCAGCAATATATAAATATGACAATTCTTAACAAAATTTCAATTACAAAAAGAGCCTTTTTATTTAAACAAAAAAAGTGAAAATTTACTTTATAACAAATCTTTTACATGAATCTAATCTACCTTTGAATTATCTTCTTCTTTCAAATGTTTGTCGATCACTATGGATAGCGAATCACGATTCGAATTTTCTTGACTATTATCTGCAACAATATGATGATGATGATCGTCCACTGATTTTGAAATCGAATCCGTCGAATTGATGTCGACTCGATGATCGTTGTTTGATGATTGAAGTGTTTGAATTACATCTGTAACTTCATCGGGTGAGGGACTTTTTTTAATGAATTGTAATTCTTGTTCTTGTGATATGATTGATCGATTCACTGATCCAATGGTCGAATCGAATCGATTAACAATCCAATGATCAACAAGTTGCAAGCCAATGGGTAATGCTTGCACCACAGACAATTCAGGACATCGATTCACAATAGATGACGATGGCAACAACAAAAGCAGAGCAACAATAATTACTCTGAGTGATGATGCACGAAATCGCGAAAAATAGTTTAAAAACTGTTGGTTTCTTGTTTGCCAACCGTTAAAGGCTTTTGCCATCACTTGGTATACCAATCGTAATTGGTTAGAATGAATCCGATACAGTTATTTACCAATCAATATATACTAAAATCGAAAAGAACATAAATTGAATTTTCAGACCTTATCAGCAACTGATATAGCATCAATCATCAAAAAATAAGCTTCTTTTTCCCTATTATTAGTACATCATTGATTGTATCAATGATTAATGTTCATCATACAGTCATCAAATAGCGGACAGTTCAACCTCACTAGATGGCAATAAGAATGGTGGATTTAAATGACCATTCGGACATTATATTGATGACAATTTTTGATCAAACAATTTGGAAACTATTTCCGTAATTGAGCTATCATGCTATTAAGGAATGACGATCCGTAGTTATTTCTTAAATCGAATGTTGTTGTTTGTTTTTTAATGTCATATCAATGTTTTTAACGGCGTAATTCACAGTGAAATGCAGTGATTTGATTTGATGTGAAAAATTTCCATCGAATCTAACATCCTGTTTTATCTGCAAATAAATGATCAAAATAATTCAAATCCTTCGAAGAAAATGATTGACAGATTTCACATGCATATGCATGGTATTGATTTTTGATTATGTCAATAAATTTGTTCCATGATTGATTGATGAAATGATTGTTCAACATATTTTTCCTTCATATGGCTCGCGATCACACATTGTCGTGTGCCGATCAAAAAAGATGATATTATTTAAAATATTTCAAAGTACATAGTCAAAAAGTTGAGAAAAAAGTACAATAGACTAAACGAATGAATTCAGTTGACCGTTGTCGTTATCGAAATATGTTTGGTCACATAAATCTTAAGGTTTACATCATCATGTCATAAATTACATCACATATTATCTTCTATCAATCGCTACTTTTTTTCTCACTATATGGATAATGATGATATTAATGGAAAAAAAAGAAAGAGAGAGAGAGAAAGCGATTGATCGAATCAAACAATTGACTGACCCCGTAATACGCATCATTTTTAAATGATTCGACTATAACGGTATAGCTAATAATGTCATAGCAATGTCATCATTGTATTGCTTTAGTATCAATCATTTTTTTAATATTATCTTATCTGTGAGGAAAAAATTGTAAAATTCCATAACACATCAATGTTCATGTTCTTTTTTTCATTGATGATATTTAGTTAAAATCATGTGGCCAAAGATCTAATGGATAAATCGAGAAATGGATAAAAAAACCCCGCTTGTTATGAAAAGGGAGGAAAATTTTTCATTTTCTTAAGAAATCCATCCATATTGATCATTATGTATTTCTTCTAAACATACTCGATTTTCTAACATTTTTTTTGAATCAATGTTTCTAAATAATGTATTCATGTGAAAGACAAGACATTGTAATAAATCATTAACACAGCAAAAAAAAAACTTGGTCAATCATTTGATAAGGAATATTTGTAAAAATTAAAAGTTTTTCAACGAAGAGAAAAAACAATACATTCGTCTAAAAAGTGGCAAAAATTCATAATTCACATCGGAGAAAAAAATGCGGAAATATAAAACATTAATGGATGTGCTTGTAATGGATGGACACATTAACATTGTTGTGGAACAAGTGGTGAGCTAGCTTCAGATTGTAGTTTTTTTTTTGAAAGAGAGAAACCAATTTTCATTCTATTCTTTTTTTCGCAAGTATCTTCCAAAATAATCAGAAGCATTTCAGCTAATTTGTTCATTCCATTTCGGACAAACGGACAAAATGTTTCTCTATTCACTATTGACAAGAAAACAATTGAATTGTTTCTCATCTTTTACATCATTCATCATTTGTACCGATGAAAACATAATGATATTAGAAATAATGTTGTTGATGTCATTTTATCTTGAATTTTTTTTAAATCATTTTATCAACTCTGTTGATAATAAACAAACAATGAAATAGACATAAACAGCTAAATTTAATGATAATTAATGTTTCGTATGAAACAATTGAAAAAATCCGATAATTTAGAATATTTCGGAATTGTTGATTAAATATTGGATTTTTTTTGAAATAATATTGAATGCTGCCATCTTGTAATTGAAATGATTTCAAATATTTAATTTTAACCGGCTGTCGGTTCGGTTAAATGATTTTATTCGAAAAAAAAACTTGAACAGCCTTTTTTATCATTATCGGTGAATAGTCTAAGCATTTAGTGGCCGTCAATGCTACGCCATCAAAGCAACCACAATTCTATAGAAGATCAACAGGTGAGTGAATGAATGCCGATGTATGATGACGATGATCGAATCAAATATCAATCCATGCAAGAAGAGAAAAATATACATTCCCTTTAAAGAAAGAGAACGATAGAACAATAGCGAAATAAGAAAAGTTCACTCTTAAATTGAATGAGATTGTTTGAAGGATCGTCGAAGCTAGTGTTATCATTTAGACTCAAGGTTTCAGTTGGATTGCTACATTGATCCCACACAACAACATCATTATGAACATCGTCAATAATTATACATGAAGCAACAATTCAACAATAACAAACGCATTTCATCATCATATTCGTTAAATGAGTTTTTTGTGTATGACAAGATCAAGTTATTGTATCAAAATCTGTTTTATTATGAACGTTCCATCATTTTATTTTTAAACAAACAATATATCTGCGCTCTTATTTTATTTTATATAATATGGATCTTCAAAAAAACCGATTCCTGGCAACGATAGTTCTATCTGGTAAAATTAATTTTTTAAGGAAGTAAATGTTTATATTGTCTACCTACCTACCTACCTCAATAAAACTCATCCCAATCAACAAAAAAAAATTGTGTCTGTAATGATATGTATGTCTGTGTATGATGTTTGTTGTGATCTACCGTCGTAGAGATGTGTATCAACATAATCACGATAAAAATAACAAAAGCTTGATGATCATTGCAACAACGAAAGAAACACAACGACCATGATGCCAACACCAACCATATCATTGGCGGCCACTACACATTCGGTGAGCAATAACAATAACACGGCCACCACCAACGCGAACAACAAAAACAACAACAACGAAAAAATCAATCAAGTTATAACGCCAAATAATCATCTTGATTCGATTATAATATCAACTTCAAACGATAATACTAATGGATTTTGTTATCCAAAATCAGTAATGGCCAAATCATCGATTGTATCGAATATTGATCCAACAAATAGTGACCAAATTTCAAATAATGATCATCAATCTCGTTTACGACGACATATGACCGAAGAAATGAATGAAGATTCCATCTATAATGTATATCTAAAAAAGATAACCTATACTTGCAATAATATTTTAAATAAACAACAAAAATTACAAAGTGATAATTTCATCACTCGTTGTGATCAGGTTGATTATTCGTCATCAAAAAATTTAAAAAAAAATGGCAATAACAAAATGAATCATAATCAACAACAAGACGATCAACAGGTAATAATATTATTTTGTTTAATTAAATGATCAAAAGATTTATTTGATGATGATTAAGGTTTTTTTATTAGCCAAAATTGTTTTTCATTTTTTTCTTTTCAACCTGTATATTTTCTTTTTTTACATTGACATTTAAATTCGATATTATACATGTATATGTCTATGATTATAAATAAATAAATAAATAATCAGATAAATTTTTAGCAGCAACGAAAATATAGATGAATATTTTTAGGGAGAATAAAAAATAATCAATATGAATAGCTATTAATATCATACATCGATTACGATTATCTTGTATTCATCTATCTATCAATTAACAATCAATCTTTTTCTTGTGAATCAAAATGCAAAACATGTCTCAGACGCGCCCAAAAAACAAACTTTTTTTCTCATATTGAATAAATGTGTTCAGTTTCGCTTGTATCCTAAACTTTGTTCATATTTCGATTTTCATCCATCAATTTCAAAACAGTTATTTCATTTTATTTTTAATTTTGGTTGGTTCAGTTATTTGCTGCTTTGTGGTGATGATAATGGTCGATAAGACTAAATATTACATTTATCATGAAAAAAAGAGAAAATAGAAAAATATTCAACAAACAAGAATGTTATTTTTAGCAATATTACTTTTCAAATCGATCCTGTTAATATGAAACAAGTTATGGTGGCACGATTTTTCTTTTTGATCAGGTTTACCTATAATTGAAAAAAATAAACGATCCATATGGATCATATAATCGTTTGAGGGATTCGACTGTGAATGTTTTGTAAGAAACCTATAACCACTAATTATTTGCCAACTTTTTCAAATTATATATAAAACTCATTCGATAACGAGCAATTTAAAAGTTTATTTTAATTGATTGGAAAAAAGTTTTTGACTTGAGAATGATAACATTTAGCAATATAGTAATGGGTTAACAGCTTGTTGGAAGTTTTAAAATGACGACTTCCGTCTGTTCAAATTTTAAAATGGGAAAGTTTTTTTGAAAAATATAATTAGACTTCAGCTTTGATGGCTGTTTAGATTTTTTTGTTCAGTTTTTGTTTTAATGAAACGTGATTTTTTTCACATAACTCTTAATTTCTATAGAGCTTACAATGGGAAACAAGACAATTACGACAGATCAAAGCTGCCACTATGGAACATTTAGTTCAATTCATTTTACTACAAACTGAATATCAACAGCAACAGCATAATAATTATAATGAATCAAAATCTAGTCAACAGCATCATAATGATCATAGCGATAGTGATGAAGAATCTCAACTAGAATCAAGTGATTTGATGGAAGAAAGAAACAATGTTGCCCATGTAATGCATGTTTTGTTCGCAACTTATCGACAATTTTACTATCCATGGCAATTGTTCACCGAAATTATCCGACAAAAGCCGTTTGTCAGTACCAAACAATTCAACTTCATCCTATTCTATTGGTTAAATAATTATCCAGAAGATTTTTGGACACCATGTCAACCATCAATGGCAAATTCAAATACGAATTACATCGATGATCAAGCCAGTAGCCATAACAATAATGGTAGCCCTGAAAATGGTAATCAATTACTTGACGATCAATCATCATTGTGTAGTGAATACGCATCTTCTTCTTCATTGTCATCGAATCATGCTAGCTACACGACACCAAGTTTATCATTGTCATCCACATCGAACAATGTATCTAACAATTCATCATTATCATCAACATCAATATCATCATCTAGATTCTCGCCATTAACCTTGGCTGATCAATTGATTTCTCTAAGGCATATCGATGAAGAAGTAAAAAAACATTGCCTTCATTTGCTTGATATGAAAAAAGAGAATACAACCAATTCATCAACACTCAACTCTCATTCCTCTATACATGTAAGTGTTCATTTTTTGATTCTTCAATTTAAATCCAAAATCGACTCTTAAACTCTCCAGTACGAAATTGTAGCATTAGTTTAAAAATAAAATACCCGTAATAAAAAAAATCTAATCGTTTTTTATTGTTGTTTTTGTTATAAAAAAGAAATCGGTAAATAAATCCTCATCTATTATTGAATTGGATCCCAAATTCGTAGCACAGCAATTGACCGCCATCGATCTGGTTTGTTGATGCAATCGAATCATGATGAATATGCGTGAGCTAATTTTTTTATTTTATTTGTTTGGAACAGGAAAATTTCCTAGCATTAAAACCATATACATTATTATCGAATGTAAGATCTAAAACAAGAATCGAAACAATGATTCGTAATTTCAACCTATTATCTCGACATGTGATTATCACCATTTTACAACATTCAACGTAAGTATTTTGCTAATCCAAACTAATTTGCATCATATTATATAATTCGAATGAATATGATCACTTAGACCCCACCAAGTTACAATACATTGGATAGAGATAGCACATCATTTAAGAAAGATGAGAAATTTTAATTCATTAAAAGTAAGTTTGTTTATTGTTTTATCATGATTGAAATAGTCAATCTATATGAATTTGTTTACAAAGGCCATCATAGCCGGTTTGACTAATGAATCCATATATCGATTGAAAACCACTGTCTGGAATAAATTACCTCGAAATTCAATAACAACTTTTCAAAATATGTCTTCAATTGTCGATGATGTTAATAATCAAACTATGTTGCGTCACACACAATTATTCATTGAGGGCACATCTAAAGTCAGGTTTGTTTGATTCGATTCGAGTTATCATCAGTAAATCACTAATACAATTCATTATTGTCATCCAAAATTCATATTTAAAAAAATTCGTTCATTCAGTCTGGAAGATTCATTCGGTACAGTGCCATATCTGGGAACGTTTTTGACCGATATAACCATGATCAACACACGCTATGAAAATTATATTAAAGTAAATTATTCAACCATTCAATTTTTCTGAATTGAGATGAACCTTTTTTCTTTTATTTTATAGACTGAAAAGGGCAAAAAATTGATCAATTTTGAAAAATGTGCAAAACAATATGAAATTTTGATGCAAATGCAATTGTTACAAAAAAATGCAATCGCCGGTTTACAACAACAGCAACAACAAAATTATCAACATCAAATCTATAGTCTAAATCATTATCTATCATTACGATCCCAATCGGTGCCATCCATACCTCGTGTGGCAAGGATTTTTCGAAATTGGTTCCAACTCAACGAATCCGATCTACCCAGTGATCGTGAATGGTAATAGTCTATGTATTTATAATGACATATAAATAACCTTTTGTTTCTTTACCAGCTATCAAATATCCTTAGGAATTGAAAGCCCGTCAACAAAGAATGGCAAAAAATGATCATCATCATCAAAAAAAAACAATAGTTGCTAAGAAAATCACACTTGTCACTAACAGTCTAAGTCATGCATGTTATATCTTTTTTATCATTGTTTTTTATTATTAAACCGTTATTTTTTGAGAAATAAAAAGTTAACTGTAATCATTGAGTTTATCAAAAAAATTCATGTATTGTGGTCGAAATGATGCTTGAGATGGAATGGCGTGACCACCGGCATGTTTGATTATAAATGGACAATGGAAATAATCATTAGCTAATGATTCAGAACGATCGTGATCAACCACTTGATCATTTTCACCTATTATATGTAACGAGGGAATTCGTATCTTTTGACCAGCTAATCTATCAAACATTGCAACATGGCTTGATGTCAGGCTCTTGAATCCAGAACACAAGATGGCAAATTTGAAATCATAAGGAAATTCTGGATTTCATTTGATACATTTAGTTTAGGAATTATGAGTTAGAAAATTTAATTAGTACCATTAAAGTGTTTGAGGATACATATCAAAGCAACCAATGATGCTCCTTGACTGAATCCTAATAAACCATCGAATGGTCCCTACGTTCACAACGAATAATCATTATCATTTATGATCAGAATGATATCGATTAGTAACCAACCATTTCTTGGAAAGTATCGCATATTTTCTTCAATGATTCATCATATCCTTCAACATAATCGGATACATGTTTGGAGCTAAAATATTTGGGGTTTGTACCAGAAAACCACCAGCTTAAACAATTTTGTTCATCGTTGGGATTTTGTTCACCCATTGGTATCTGATGTGGTGCATCGATAATAACTTGAGAAAATTGAAATTGAAATCGTGATCAGCAAAGACAACAATTTTCTTCAAAGACTCACCAAACTCGAGATTTTGATTTTTGAGAACTTTACGAAATCCTCCCGATTTAGCCTTGAATGATTGAGTATTTTGCCTGTATCCATGCAAACATAAAATCTTTTCAATAACATAAATCAGAGAGGAAATTATTGGAATAAAATTAGCAAACCGTTACTTTATGACAATTCATATCAGACATAATTATTATGGAATTATTATTTGGTTTGCTGAAAAACAGCGAACAAAATGCTTCACACCTCAGCAATATTGATTGATGCACGTGTTATCATCATGTTCAAAATATACGTACAATATACGATAAGATACAAAAATTTGATTTTTCTACAGCGCGCGTCATTTCATTTGCAAGTACCGTTATTTACTTTAATTCATAACATTAGCCATCCATAATATTAGTCTCTATTGAATTTCTATTTATTTAAAATCGTCCAAAAGTAAACTTTTTATTTGCAGTTTATCGTAACCTGAAGATCAACTGTCAATTTGATGTAAGATAGTACCAGAGTAGAAATACAAGTTTTCAAATTTTTTTTTTTGGTGATAAAAATCAAATCACTGAATGTGCTTTGATTGTAAACTGTCGTGCTGGAAGTAAAATATTTGATTGTCAAACATAAACATGTACACATATATAGAAAGCTGACAATTCGAAAAAACGAAGCATTCTGATTAAAATTGCTTTATCGATTCGATTTCAAATAAAATTTTTCTTGAAAATTTGTGTCCATTTAATATTAGATTTGTTTGTTGCTAGGAAAATGTTAATCGGTTTTATTGGATCGGGCAAAATAGCTCAAGCTTTGATTAAAGGTTTTATCAGTGCTGGAATATGTCGAGTTGAAAGTATATTGGCAAGCGCTCCCAAAGATGATTATACAAATCATTATAAAACTCGTGTAAGTATGCCAAATCTGAAATTTTAAACCAAATTATTTCGATATTGGTTTTTGCATGGCCAGGACATTGGCTGCCGTACTACATATGAGAACAAAGATGTCTTAAAACATTCGGACATAGTGATTTTAGCTGTGAAACCACCAATTGTACCATACGTTTTGAACGACATTAGTAATCTTGTCACACCAAAGCATTTGATGATTTCGATTGCTGCTGGCATCACATCGAAATCGATCGAAAAATCATTACCCGAACAATCCAAAGTTGTTCGAGTGATGCCAAACACACCAGTATTAATTAAACAAGGAGCAAGTGTATTTGCATTGGGCCGTAATGCACAGAAATCCGATGGTGATGTGGTGAAAAAATTGTTCGAAAGTGTTGGTATCTGTGATCAGGTGCCAGAAAATTTGATTGATGCTTGTACTGCCCTTAGTGGCTCTGGTCCGGCTTACGTAAGTAGTCAAAAGTTGCAGTAGTGTTGTATCGTTCGAATTATCTCTTTTGTCATAGACTTATATGTTTTTGGAGGCTTTGGCTGACGCTGGTGTATTGCAAGGATTGTCTCGTGAACTTTCCTACAACTTAGCTGCTCATACTCTGATTGGGTAATTAATTGATTTTTTACAAAAGAAATTTAATTAACAAATTAAATATTATTTGAAGTGCTGCAAAAATGGTTTTAGAAACCAAAAAACATCCAGCTGGATTAAAGGTAAGTGACTGGTTTATCAAGAATTATTGATAGTGAATTTTCCCAATAAGGATGATGTTTGTTCACCGTCTGGTTGTACGATCAATGCCATGTATCATTTGGAAAAGAATGGTTTCCGATCATTACTTATGGATGCTGTTGGTGTAGCCACAAATGTTGCGCGAAAAGATGAACAATAAATTTGGATGGAAAATTCAATCTATTTTTGACTGCCGAAATGTACTAATTTTTTTGTGGGTCATATTTTGCCAAACTGATAAGATTATCAACAAAATTCATTCATACTCAAAGACAAACAAGCAAACAACAAAAAGTCATTTATTTTAATTAAATCAAAAATATTACATAATAAATATGATCTTGATCTTTTTTGGCGATGAATTTTGATATTTGTGGACATCATCGGAAGAAATTAATGGTTATTTTTTGCAATTCGTCAATTCGTAGTCAAGAAACTCATAAATCTAGAAATTTGTTTACAAAAGATTTTGTCGACTTGTTCCATAAGGAATATTTACAAAAAAAATTAATCAAATAGAAAATTAGATTTAGATTTGAATTTATATTTTGAACGAGGAGCTTATTGATAAAAATATAAAATAAAATGAGACATTATTCAAAAATGAATAGAAACATAAAAGGATCGAACAAAAGAACAAAAAAATTTGCACAATATATTCGGCTGTTGTTGACTGATTGAAAAAATTGTAATTAAAATCTGCAATCACAAACGTTTAAAATAGCATAGTAGCGAATGACAATTTTCATAATCATTCAGTGTGATTGAATCGTTCAAAATCGATTGAATGTGATTTTTTATCGTGATAAAGCTAGTCATTTTTGTCGTGAAAAGAGATTTTTTGTTGATTCGGTTGACGATTGTGGGTAAATTGATCATCAATTTTGAATGAGACCAGAGTGATTGAGTGATTAGTGAATATGAAGTTATCACACCGAAAAAGCAAGAAAGAAAACATATCACTATTGAAATCAAGAAGATTCAAATCAAACGAAGATTTGTCGAATGAACAGGAATTGAATGGCATGATTCTTGTATTATTGTTGGGTCGATTGATTAAATGCCTGATCCAGAGAAATAGTGATGCTACGTGACTGCTAGTCGATTTGAATAGGCATTGACTCCAAACGATGATGATGAAAGGAATGGAAACAAATCCAATACGTATAGACAATTATCATAAATTTTTCGTCTTGTCCACATATCTAATTCGGGCCAATGTTGAAAGACGAATGTGAACATTATGATTACAAATACACTAGTAAATATTCGAGCTCTATAACGAATTATAATGAGAAAGGAGTAACGAAAATAAAAAATAATTATTATGTTTACCGTGTCTGCAGAAATGGTGCTAAAATGTTAGCAACGGTTGCGACCAACAATAAAATAACTTGTAAAACGGTCAACAGAACATTAATTAGTTTAAGTACGAGTGCACGAGCATTCGAATTATCCAATGAGTCAAGATTGACCAATTGTTGTAAATGTTGGTGTTGCTGATGCTCCATTCGTGATATCTAATGTACGTATGAGATAAGGTACTTTTGAAAACGATTCTAGAAATAGACCAATAAACTTACCCTTGTCTGAAAACTTTCCAACATTTCATGAACATCCCGATGTCGTTCATCGGTTTGATATTGGATTTTTTCCTCAAGATCAGAAATTGTTTGTTTGAGATTTTCAATTTCTTTTTGATGGAGCTCGGTCAAATCATTAAGCTGCTCTTCTAATCTCTAAAATGGCCATACGATACGAAACAAAAAATGATTATAGGAAAAATGACAAAAGTAGAAAGCAAATATCATCATATAATATATACCTCAACTCGATATTTTTCATCCTGAAGCGTTTGATTAAACAGTAAACATTCGGATTGAAACTGATTTTTTAGTGTATCGATTTCTTCGCCAAAACGTAAACAATCTTGCGTTCGTTCATCGATACGATTTCGTAGTTGATCAATATCAGCAACAGTATAATATCCTACAGAAGTGTCAGTTTTTTCAAGGGTAAATGAACATTATTATCACTGTTTATGATCATATTCAAATTTCTTACGTTTAAAAGGTTTCATTCGTAATGGACTGCTACTGTAATGAGCACTATTGGTATGGCTATTGATAACTCCCAATTGACCAGATTCCGATGTAATACTTGAACTCTCATCATCATCATCTGATGTACATTTTGTACTATGACTATGTGAATGACTATTTGAATTGAACATCCCGACATTTCCACTTACACCGCCAGTAATATTTGAGGGATGTTGAGACACTTCCGAATCAATCAAATATGTAACAAATGTACTGGTCGGTTCTTGCTCCATACTATTCTCTGAAATATAAGAACAAATTTTTAAGTTAATTCTTTAAGAAAATCCAGCAAGGACATACTTTCTGCATTATCGACAGTGGTTCGTTTGAAAAATTCTTTCGGTTTAGTAATCACAGTTCTAGACAAAAAGAAATCGGTAAAATTAATAGGAAAATTTGCCTTAGAAACTTACTCTCCGGCTGTATGAATGCCGGATTTGATGCCTTCGATTACGCCTCCGGAAAGACCACTGATGCCTTCTTTAATGTTTGTTCCAACATCTCGAAGTCTTTCTTTGGGATGACGATGATAAATACCACCATTCTTTATTCGTTCAAGTTCCTGATCCAAACGATTCATCTTTTTCTGACAACGGGCAATCTTCTGCGAAGATCTTTGGTTTTTCTTTTCGAACACCGTTTTTAACCGTTGACTTTGATTGGGTTGAGCACTCGATGTCAACTTGAGATATTCATTTACATTATCATTACAGTTTATTTGTTCTTGAGCGATTTTTTTCTTATATTTACGAATTTTCTGTTCGATTTCGGCGATAGCACGTTTAGTTTCATCATTCGGAGTCAGAGTAGTAGATGGCGGAGCAGCTGTTTGTTCCGCACCTGAATCGACCTGATCACTTGAACTAGATTTCATTATCGATCCGGATGTTGTTGTGGTCATTTCCGTTGGATTCAATAAAAAATTCCGATTTCGATTATCACTGCTATGTGATGATTCTAAATTGTTAAGCGCGCGGTTCAGTGATAAATGATTTGATTGCGGTGCTGGTGGTGGCAGATGTGAATGATGGTGATTAGTGCTGGTCGATGAGGAGGATAGAATATCCCTAATCAATTGAGGATTTAGCGTACTATATGAACCATGGCTGTATCCACGGCGATGTGTCGGCTTCAACCCTGCTGCTGATGACGATAATGTTGTCGTTGATGCGGTCGAATGATGCGAATGTGTAGGCGATGGTTTCGGATGCTGGGGTAACAAATGAAATTGAGCATGACTCGCATTCATATTATTCGATCGTACATCATCACCAAACGATTGTCTATGTATGATGATATTATTTCTATCATCATTACCATCATCGACAACAATTTTATTTGTTTTATCATTATTAAATATTCGATTATGATCAACGGACAATGTACTCGGCGATATGCTGTTATCGATATTTGTTATTTGATGATCCGATGTGCATACAGAGGACGTATCAATTCGAGTATTATTATTGCCGTTAGAGTTTCGTAACATTATATTTGATGCTAATGACGAGCAGCCACAACATGACAAAACGATTATATTGTTGAATCAGATAAGTTACCAGCTTAAATACTGGATTAGTAAATGAACAGACATCAATTATTTAGGATATGTACTACTCCAGGTACAAATCAACATTGATTAAAAGAGATCGATTGGTTTTTGGAATTTATGCTTCATTACAGACCAATCGGGTGTGTGTTTGTAGAGTAAGATAGAATTGAATCATTTACTATAACAATAATTTATTATGAATGATAAAAGATTGATTTATGATAAAGAATAATTGGCAGATTAATATGGAGCCAGATGATAAATATTTTTTTCAAGTATCAATATATAAATTAGTATTATTGACAAAATAAATGCAATTTCATATAAAAATACACACACAAAAACACGATTGATTTTTATCGAGTGGAATTAGGATGCTGATATGATTTTGATGATGATGATGAATGAATGAATGAATGAATATTTTACAAACAAATCATAGCCAAATGTAATTGCACATATGAAGTGATTGGCTAGTAAATATAAAAAAACTTGGCTACGGGCTATACAGTAGCGTGTTTGGACAAAATCAGAAAGTGATGGATTTTAGCTATAAAGAAAAAAATGAAAATTGATCAGAAAACATAATAATAAAAAAATGAGCTAATATAAACAAACAAGTGAAATGATCAAGATAGGCAATTAAAACTGTTAATCAAAATTGAACTCAAATAATTATTGTGTGTTGAAAGAGAAAATTTACCGGAGATTACAAAGCCGGAAATTTAATTCTGAAAAATATCCAGAAGAGAAAATTGGATCGTCATTATTTTTTTAAATACCAATAAATAAATACGCAACAGTAGCGTCATGCGAATACACAAGAGCTGAAATGTGAAATGTTTTCTGAATGTATTACTTAATAAAATGAGTCATGTACATTGTATCATCATGATCGTCTCTTTTAATTTTTGTAAGTTTGGAAAAATATTTTCTCCCAACTTTTTTTCATGCAAAGGACAAGGACAATTTTACAACAACAACAACAACAAAAAATGATGACGAAATAAACGAAACGCACACAAACATTACTAATCAAAATATAAACAATTATAATTCCTTGTCACGTTAGTCATACCTTTTTATTTTTGGTCATCAACATCAGTTAAGAGATCAGGTGATATTATGATGCTATAATGGTTTATCGATGTAAGCTTAAAACAGAACGAAAGAGATTCATGAGCAAAATAAAAACACCGGAAAAAAAGGACTAAATAATTATATCACTACAGGACAACGATAAAAAAATATGATACTATGGTATGGTAATAATATTTATTTGATAAATATGGTCCAGGTATAAAAACAATAACGAAACAAAATCAATATTGATGATAATCGAACAAATATTGGATTACTGGCAACAAATATGTAGCCATCCAATCCAATACAGTTATTACTGTTTGTTGTCTAAATCTTTACGAATTCATCCATTCAGTGTCTGTTTGAGCTCGAGCTCAGCTCGTTATAGTGGTTTTTCATACAATTCACATATACAAACCAATATACACACAGACACAAACACCAGAGTTTTTTTTTGTTTGGTTGCTTGTCAGCCGAATAATAATATTGTACACCCCCCTGATTCCTAACTAATTGTGAATTAAATGAATCAATGAATTACACTAAGACACCGCATAGTGGCGTTCTTGTTGTTGGTGTTCTTTTTTTTTGCTGGTTTCGTTCGAATAATAAATTACGCGCAGGCACCAATTTGTCTGGTTTTGCGGGTTTTGTTTTGGTTACAATTCGATTTCAGTTTAAAATGACGCCCAAACAAACGAATAAATCATTTTCTACATCTATAGAGGGAAAAAATTTTGGTTTTGTAAACTTGAAAATAATATGATCTTTTGCTCAAATAAATCAATGAACATGAATAAAATGTCGATTTATTTTACTAATAAAAATAATGAATTCCTATCAAATAAAATATTTGCTAACCACCTGAAATGCAATTGATCGTGAAAATTTTCCATTTGTCATGAATAATTGTAAGAGATTTTAAAATATAATTCTCAGTCTTCCAGTGATTATTGTGGAATAAATTCACTTGGTTACCAATCATTAACTCAAACTGTTGAGAAATTTGGTTTCCTCACCACGAACCAATAAATTATCGACAAGTTTAGTTTCAGTTTTAAGCTATAAAAAAAGACAGAAAAATAATAAAATTATTAGGAATCGAACGTTGAGTATTTTTCAGAATAATCTCTTTCACACTAACATTGATCATTGATGTACGTTCAAATGAACTGGCTCCACAATGTTGACATTGATTAACCGGAAAAAGCGAATCATATGTAAAACGGCGTTTTTTACAATGTTTGCATTGAAAAAATCGTTTTTTCACTTCATGAAATCGAACCGAATGTTGACGAGATTTACATAGATCACTTTGCGATGGAGCCGTATATTTACACATTCTACAAGTAACCACTTTGGCCATCAATTCAGTTATTTCAGCCAATCGATTTTCATACCGTTCACGTTTTTCCAATACCTGGAAATGTTGTTCACGAGCTTTATGTTCGATTACATCCAAAACACAACTGTTGATTGATTTGCGTTGCATAGCAGTTTCGATTAATCTAGATTTTTCTTTTTCAGCTTCGGCCTGTTCTTTTTTTAATTCTTCATTCGATTCGTCAAGACATGCGGTTACTTTTTTGAGAATTTTTTCGAGTTTTTCATTCTTGGCTGTAATCGATTTTGTATTTTGTGCTTGTTGTTTCTTCTTGAAAATTTCAATAGCTTTTAGTTTAGTTGCATTATATTGTTTTTCATTTGTCGAAATCTTCAAGTTGATCATTTGTCCAGGTTTATAACCTTTTGCCAACAAAGGTGAATCGCTTTTGAAATTTTGTGTTTCGGATAATTTTGTTTGAGAATTTTTTAGCTGTGTAAAAATGTCTTGAGGACAAATTGGTTTATCTGATGCGGTTTGTACTCTTGTGAGTGGTGATGATGACACTTTTTTCGATGATGATAAGCATTGTGAATTTGTTGGGGAATTCGAAATTACGGCCAAATTTTTGGCTGATCGTGACAATGGATTAAGGATTATTTTTTTCAGACTTTCTTTTTCGACTTGTTTTTTATCCGTCAATTGAGATCGATTCACTTTTGTCATTTCAAGAACAATATTATTCTGATTTAATGTAGCGTTCGGTACAAAATTATTGGCAAAATGATATTGTTCAGGTTCCTTATCCGAAAAAGTAGTTTGAATTTCTGCTCGTTTCGAGCTGAATTTTCTAAATGCATTCTTAACATGATACAAACAGAATTCATCGTCAGCATTCATAATTAAACTGCCACAAATATCTCCATTCTTTTTAATCGCTTTGCAATGGCTCAAATCTTTGGACGTACCAATATGCAATAATTTATCAGGATCATCGATGGTTAAAGGGCCGATTTCTGAACTTTTTGGATTTTTAGAGTTTTTGTCCATGAACGATGCATTCAGTAGGCCAATGACAGCTCCAACTGACATTTTCCAATGTTTTTCATGTGTCTGTCCGAATAGAAAAAAACTGACCGAATACTTTTCCGAACTGAGATCGCTTAAATTCCAAATGGAATATTCTTTTCCGTTTTTACTTGTCTTGGTCATTTTGTTTAAGACGACACCAATTGTAACCCAATCACCTTCTATATCACAAGAGGATTTATTCATAGCCGATTTAATTTTTGATAACTTGATCATTTTACGACCACGCATCATTTCATGAAGTTCATCACTCGAAACTAATGGCTTAGTCATGCGAATACCCGAATACAATTCTTTAATTACAGTTTCATTGTTCGAATGAGACTGAATAGTGCCTGAGTTTTTGGATTTCCAATTGTCTAAAGGATTTAAAAAAAATTAAACAAATATCAACAAACTGCAACATATACCTCGACGAATTTTTTTGTTTGAATTATAATCAGATTGAAAATTCTGTTTACGTTTACTAGTTGCACTAACTGAATTATCATCATCATTGAATCCATCAAGATCATCAATATCACCAAATAAATCTTCAGCTGAGAAAGACATTGTTTTAATCTTTTATTTAAAAAAAATGATCACGACCAACACCGATTTGGGCGGCAAATTTTTTCGTGTAAACTTTTGGACCATTTTAACTTTACGTGTGTGTACGAGTCAAAATGGAAAAAATCAACAATTTTCTTGTTTTGTTGTCTTGTTTGTGTATATTATGATCTTTATAAAATAACTTAAATAAATCAACGAATTGCTACGAATTTCTTTATTTCAAATTGATTTTTTGTTTTGAATTTTTCTTCTCACTTTATTTTTCCATTAAATCCATTCTAAATACAATTTTTATTATCATTTGTGGCCCAAAATTATCTTCGTCATTGCTAAAATTGTGGCGCTTTGGCCTTGTAATTTTCAAGTTTTTTCATCATCGAATAAAAATAAATGAATTGTTAATAAAATGAAAAAATGTAATTGTAATGAATCTGTATTATTATAATAATCACATAAAGTTAATAGAACAATGATTTGCATGAAAAAAATATGTTTGCGACTGAAAAATCGACGAATTATCAATGAAAGGTAAGTGTGATTTCTCGATAGCATGAACGTTATTAACATAAATTAGAAAGAGCTTATATTCAATTTATTCAACATATAGAAGCAAAATATTCCGTGATACCGCATTTTGATCTTCATTATAGTGATATATTCTCAAAATAATTCTACTCATTCATAATACATTCTCACTAATCAATGGCCATTTGCTCAATATGAATATTGCAAATAGTCATCAATCATCAGTCGTTACAAATCATGGATCTATTGATACAACGATTGATCGTCAATCGGATGATGTTTTCAAAGATGGTGATAACAAAAACAAGAGCATAGAAAAATTGGAAACCGAATCGATGATGTGTAGACCGCAAACACCGATGCAACAATCATGGCTTCTTAGGCTTTTCGAATCTAAATTATTCAACATGAATATTGCCATCACTTATCTATTCAATTCGAAAGAATCCGGTGTATTGTCCTACTTGGGTAATCGAATGTTTACATTTCCGGCAGATGATGTAGATTTTTTTCTCCCACAATTAATTGTTTTATATATTCACAATAACAACATCGCTGATGCTATACATCCATATCTAATACATCGATGTCGTCAGAGTGTTTATGCATCAACTAAATGTATTTGGCTTTTGAATGCATTTTGTCCGGAAACACAATCATCAACAATAACACTGATGTTACATTCCCGTAGGAATAAATCCTTAGGACATAGATTACGAAAATCGATTCTCAACGAAGAATTCCGATTATCAACTGCTGATTTTAACCAATCAAACGACATGACCAATAGTAATTATATGAATCATTCCTCCAATAAAGCGAAAATTAGCCACAATCATCATCGTACACATTACCGATCATTCAGTGACGCAATGACCAAATCACAATTATCCGGTATCAATCTTAGCCAAACCGAAGCCATAATCGGCTGCATTCACCATCAGCAAAAAAAGAATCGTTTTTTACGTATTCCATCTACTACAAACGGAATGTTGAGAAATTTGAATCAAAGTGAGAAAACATTTCCAAGTTGCCTTTGTGCGGCTCCCAGAATTAAACCCGAATATGAATTTATACGTTGTTTAATGAACATTGGTTTGAAAATGCAATCTGTTCCTAGCAAAGAAATAAAATCCCAACTTTTGATTAGTGAATTATCTAGTTTAAACATTCAACTACCTGCTCGTGTTTGGATACCTACATATACAAAGCACTCGCATATGATCGTAAGAATACCGCCGCATGCTGCTGTCCTGTTGAATTCCAAAGATAAAGCACCATATTTGATTTATTTCGAAATATGTGAATGTGATGACATAGAAAAATCGCCAGTACCAGTGAAACAAGCACTAACAAATAGCAGAAGTAGCCTTAATGGCAGCAGTAGTAGCATCAATTTTTTAATGATGACCAACAATAATCATGATGGTAATTTTGATTCAAACCAGAAACAACAATGTATATTACAATCACAATCATTCTCGCAAAATTATTCGGCATCTATTATTCGACAGACAAAATCCGAAGAGAATCTTATCGAATTTGCTATGAAGCATGGAAAAGAGACAATCAAAGATAATCTTGATGAAAAAATTCCGATTCCATGTGAAGATTCTAACAGCAACAAAAGCAACACTGTTATTGTAATCGGTGCAGATGATGATGAAGAAGAAATGCTGATGGCTAAACAATATGGCGCGTTTAATGTGTTACGTCGGCTACCAAATCAGCGACAAGCCAATGACAATCTATCACAGTTTTCTACTGATTCTACGACAAGCAATGAAGGCATATTGATAGCTGCTGGTGATATTCGCCGTCGTTTGAACGAATCAATTGCTTCAAAGGATAATAATTTCAATAAATTTTGTCCTGAAGATCCATCTGCTGCAGCATTGAAGGAGCCATGGGACGAAAAAGTATCGAGAATTCGTGAATCATCTCCATATGGCCATATCAAATCCTGGCATCTTGTTGCTGCCATTATTAAATGTGGTGACGATTTACGACAAGAAATGATGGTCTATCAGATATTGGAAACATTAAAATCAATATGGGAACAGGAACATGTTCCATTATGGTTGAGGCCTTATGCTATTCTCTCTACATCACCTGATAGTGGCATAATTGAACCGATCCTGAATTCGGTTTCATTACACCAAATTAAAAAACATTGTCAAATTTCATTACTCGAATATTTTGTCAGAGAATTCGGCGATGGTTCGATGAGCTCCGAATTATTTCTAACAGCAAGAAAGAATTTTGTACAGAGTTGTGCAGCCTATAGTATCGTTTCGTATTTGATGCAAGTGAAGGATCGGTAAGTGGTGTATTGAATTATTTAATTTTTTTATCTACTATGTCTCTATTTTATGTTAGACACAATGGCAACATTCTTCTCGACAATGAAGGCCATTTGATTCACATAGATTTTGGCTTCATATTATCTAATTCTCCACGAAATTTGGGCTTTGAGAATTCGCCGTTTAAATTAACTCCAGAATTCGTGGATGTAAGTTAACATTCATAATGAAATTTGTTTTTCATTATTTTGTTTATAGGTAATGGGCGGCAAGAAAAGTGATATGTTCGAATATTTCAAAATTCTCATATTACAAGGTTTAGTAGCTGCACGTAAACATTCAGATCGTTTGATGACTTTGATTGAAATTCTCATAACTAGTCCATCGATGTCGGCTTGTTTTTCGAATACGGCATCGATTCTACGTTCATTACGTGATCGTTTTCATATGAACATGACTGAAGGACAATTGCAACAGCATGTCGATACCTTGGTTGAAACGAGTATCCATTCGATAACGACTAAACTTTATGATGGTTTCCAATATTTTACCAATGGTATTTTCTGATAATCATGCGGCAATCATCAAGGCAACCAAAAGGCCAAAAACAAAAATTTTTCGATTCTATTTTTGTTATCAGATTATTTACATTGTTAATTATTTTCTAAATAAAATATTTATCTTAAAAAAAATTACTCAAATAAAAATCATTTGAGTTGCATTATTCCGCGTTTTCGGAGAATAAATTCGTTTTGTTCCATGCATTTTGTCACGTTCTTTATTGATGGCAACTTTAGGTGGTGAAAAACAGGGTCTGCCCGAATATATTTTGCCGATTGTTTTTGTCTTTTTATTTTGTTTTAGTTTGCAATTATAATTGTATCAAGTAGAAAAATTATTCAAAAATTGACGTTTTTTCTTTGATAAAAATTTCTTTCAGCATTCTCTATAGTGATCGACCATTGAAATTCTGAAAATGATTTTGCCAAAGATAATATTTTATGCTTCCTGCATTAAACGTCATTTCACTTGAATCATTCGGGCATATTTTCATTTACTTTTGTTCATCATACTTTCTGCATTTATTGTAAACACTCTTCACACACTGAATTATTCAATTCGTAATTTAAAGTTTTGTGATAAAATATAAAAATTCACATGGTCAATTTGTTATTGAAATTAATCGGAATCGAATGCAAATTTTCATTCTTTTTTTGACGTTAGTCTGATCGTTTATTTTTTCCATTAAAAAATGCCACCCGATAATTTTTTCACCATCAAAGACTTTATAAATGAAGCCAAAGATGATTTTCATTCGCCAACAACATCGACATTTTATTCGAATGTTTCCTATTGTAAACAGTTGGTCAACTCTATCGAAGAGGTTGGACACAGCTGAGTTGATTAATCTTCGTTTATATAATTCTACTTTTCAATATTTAGGGCCTCGATCTTGATAGAAATGGATTGTCTAAAATGAAAAAAGCTGTCAAAGCAATCTATAATGGAGGATGTGGTAAGCGTTTTGAATTGCAAACTTTATTGTTTAACATTATTTGAATTGAATTAGCAAATAATGGAAACAAAATCATATTGTCGGAATCGTTGGAAAAATTGGGCATCAATTCATCGAATTTACGCGAAAAAGAAGAATTCATTGGCGCAGCGTTCGTAAAATTTTCTTTCATAGTTAAAGAACTTGCTGCTTTGGAAAAAACTTTAGTATGTGATTCTTATTTACAATTGAGTGATTATTCGACAATGCTTATCTTTTAATTTCAGATGCAAAGTTTATACAATATAATTATGTTTCCTGTGGATAACGTTCTTAAGGGCGATTTGAAAGGTGTAAAAAATGAACTGAAAAAACCTGTAGATAAAGCGCTTAAAGAATATGAAATTAAAATGAACAAGCTTGAAAAAGAGAAAAAAGCGCAGGCCAAAGAAGCCGGATTGATACGGACTGAGATAACCGGAGCTGAATTGGCAGAAGAAATGGATCGTGAAAGGAAACAGCTTCAATATCAGATGTGTGAATACTTAATCAAAGCTAATGATATTGATATGAAGAAATCTTTCGATTTGCTGCTTCATTATATTGAATATTTTAATGCCCAATGTAAATATTTTCGCGCTGGTCTTGAAGCGATTGAACAATTTCAATCTTTTATCAGTGATTGTACCGTACAAATACAGCAAGCACGACAAAGAAAAGAGGAAGAGAAACGTGAATTGTTCGAATTGCGATCATTGCTTAAATCATCCAATGCATTATCCGATACTTCCTTGATAAATACGAGTTCAATAATGAATGATTCACATCATTCAGATCAATCCAATAGACGATCAGTTGGCTATTATTCTTTACACCAGCCGCAAGGTAACAAACAATATGGTTGTTATAAATCTGGATACTTGTTGAAAAAATCCGAGAGCAAAATGCGGGTAAAAGTATGGCAGAAACGTAAATGTGAAGTCAAAGACGGATTTCTTTACATTTGGCATTCTGATGAATCAAAATCTCCAACCAAAGTTAATCTGTTAACTTGTCAGATTAAAACCTGTCAGCAACAACAGAATGTGCAATCACAATCCTCAACAAATGATGATAGAGCCCAATCATCATTGTCACAAACATCTAACATGACGAATTCGACTAGTGTTCCACTTAAAAATTTTGGAACTTATTTCGATCTCATTTCCTATAATCGTACCTATCATTTTCAAGTAGAAGATGAACATGATGCTGAAGCTTGGATATCGGTTCTCATAAACAATAAAGAAGGTGCCCTTAAAAAGGAGTTTGATAACTCCACTGATAAAGTTTCGAATTCTGGATTAACATCTTCGTCATTGTCCATGACGAATTCCAGTAATCGATTTGTAAATTCAACAAATAATCCTGATTCAAATCTTCCTAAACTTCGTCAAAACATAATTGAACACATACAGAAACTGCCTGGTAATGACTGCTGTGTAGATTGCGGTTCTATGCAAGAGCCAACTTGGCTGGCCACCAATTTCGGTGTATTAACTGTAAGTTTTTAGTCAAAATAAACATATTTTCATTGTAATTTCCTTAGTGCATTGAGTGTTCTGGAATTCATCGTGAAATGGGAGTACACGTTTCACGAATACAATCATTAACATTGGATAATATCGGGACATCACAGTTGTTGATTGCATCAATGATGAGTAATAATGGTTTCAATGATATTATGGAAGCTGGCTGTAATATTCAAACATTCAAACCTAAACCGAACAGCACGATGGATGAACGAAATCAATTCATTAGGAATAAATATCTTCATCGAAAATATATTATTAAAACCTGTACATCTGAATTGGAATTGCTAAATGATCTCGAACAGGCTGTTCATTCGAAGGATATATATTTTCTGCTGCAGGTTTGGGCCGAAGGTGCAAATTTAAGTGCACCATTACCATCGAACTCTTTGATGGAAACAGCATTACATCAGTCAATAATGCGAGAATATGATGGCTACTCACTTCATATTGTTGATTTTTTAATTCAAAATTCTCCCGATCTCAATGTGATAACTAGGCCGGATGGTAATACAGCCCTACATTATTGTGTCATATATAATCGACCAGAATGTATGAAACTATTGCTTCGTTCGAAGGCCAATTATTCCTTACGAAATAAAATGGGTAAAACTCCCATGGATTTAGCTCAAGATGAACAGAATTCTTTTTTAATTCAATTGGTGAGCTAAATTTAATTGATTTTTTTTTGTGATTTGGGAAATTTGATTTACTTTTTTTTGGTTAGCTTGAATGCGCTGAAAAGAATCAAAAATCAATGTTCGAGAATATTGTCATTCACTATAATGTCCAAATAGAGGATCCATCTACCGATTTTTCTGATGATGATCTTGATGAAAAGGTTTTTATTTTCAGCAATTCTGTAGTGTTTAATAACATTTTGCTGTCTGCTTAGAATGGTACGATTAGAAATGCCGAGGAAATTCGCCGTGTGAATCAATTGATGTTTAGTCAGAATGAACAATCATTATTGACGAATAATCGAATTCGTTCAAGCAATCGGAAATTTTCTTTTCGCTATCAAACTGAAAGTGAATCTGATTCCACTGAATTGGTATTTGCTATTATCATTTGTTTTTTGCATTATTCATTACCATTTAATATTATTTTTACAGAAAAATAATGCTCAGGCCTCTCTTTTCAACAATTCTTCAGTCAATCAGACTGCGGGACCATCTTTTTCTTCAGCTCAAAATTCTCGACCATCAAGTGTTGTTGGAGATTTTTATTCAACTGTTGTGAATATTGATACTTCCAATGCAAAAGCTGCAACTACTGTTACTAATTCCGATTTGGATTCCATCGTTCGTGGTAATGTTATTCGCAACAATAGCAGCGGAACCAATAAATTTAGGTTTTCGACCGAATCCGAGCATCCAATACCAACACATATGCCGAATAAAGATGGTATGTCGAAAAATGTTGTTGATGCTAACGCATATGAAGATCCATGTATTGTTACCGACTCGCGACCTTTTTTGATAGGTCATTCTCGAGCAGCATCAGCTGATATAAGCTGTGATCCGAATTCCTTAAATTCAATTTCGATTGCCACTAATAACAATTTGCAACAGAAAGTGACATCGAAGATGAGTCACCATATCCGAAACAATTCTGTTGATAATTCACATGTCACTTCCGTCTTTTCTACTCCTGGTTTGACTGTTAAACAATCAAACACGCCATCTACCATTAATAATCAGCCACAACCAAATAAACCTGCTATTCCTCTTAAACCAACAGGCATAGTTTCCGTTTTTGTTCCTGGGTCAAATACAGCAGCGACAGGAACAACGTTAACAACAACTTCGAATGCAAGTAAAAAAGCTGGAATTTCGAATATTTATGGTAAATTAACGACGACCACATCGACGATTCCAGCAAAAGTAGACAAATCAGATAATAGATCACATTTTGCTAGATATCCGAATGAAATGTCTGTTCAGCAAATAAATGAAAGTAGTGTTCATCATCCAATACCACCACCTCGAAAGGTAACAATTTCAGCAATTGATGAAATTATTAATTTTTTTTATTCGTAGAAAATTCACGATTCTCATGGAACATCTGGAAAATTTCGTAGATGTTTAGCTCTTTACGATTGTGATGCTGATCAATCTGATGAGATTTCATTCAAAGCTGGAGAAATAATCACAGTCATCAACGAAATAACCAATGACGATGATTGGATGGAAGGAATGATTGAAGGCGATCCATCGAGGCGAGGGTTATTTCCAGCCATTTTTGTTCAATTCATTGAATAATTTATTTCATTTGGGTATTTATATATTATTTATATAATACTTCATTCATCAAGCACGACACTATCTTCCTGTTATTTAATAATTTAATAATTATGTTATTTTCTAGTCACAATTGAAATTTTTCAAATAATTAGGATTTGTGAATTCATTTCTTTCACATATCTTAAAATTTTCCTCTGTGTTTTGAATCACTGATGCATTTATGAACAAATTCAACAATGATGATTTTTTTCGAATGTATTTTTAATTTGATTTATTGTCTTAAAAGAATTAATCTTAAATAAACAACTTGAATTTTTTTTATGAAATCTGAACAATGAATCCACTTCATAGAGAACGTATCCGAGTGAAACATATGTCGCTAGTCTCCTGAGTATATTTCCAATCCATTTTCAAGCTGTCATTTAATTTTGAAATTCAAAATGAAACGTAATTATGAATCCATGCCTGTAGCGATCTATGAAAAAAGGTCTCGAAAAGAATTAGCTCTTATCGATAACGAACCTGGAAATGGGCAACTTATATCCGTAAGCATATCAAAGTGATCAAAATTGATTCTAATTTTATAACCGGCATATTTCATTAGGCCGTAAACCGAACCTCTAAACTTGAGTCACCTATCATGTTATTAACTGGACACGAATCCGAAATAAACTCCTGTAAATTTCATCCTAATGGAGAAACAATCTTATCTGCTGGTTTTGATCGGAACATATGTAAGTTTTAGATGATTTGTTCATACTATTCGTATAATGTAATTTTTCCATTGTCGACAGTTTTATGGAATACATATGGTGAGTGTAAAAATTATGCTATTATGTCAGGCGGACATAAAGGAGCTGTTTTGGATGCCCATTTTTCTGGCGCTGGCGATTATATTTTTTCAGCTTCGACGGATAAAAATTTGATCATTTGGGATGCAAAAACTGGAGCTCGAATGAAAAAACTCAAGGGACATCAGAGTATTGTTAACGCTTGTTGCCCTTGTCGTGATCAATCCAAAGCTTTGCTATGCAGTGTCTCGGATGATAAAACAATTAGGATATGGGACACCAGAAAACGACAAGTTTCATCCGTGATCAAAGAGAATTATCAATTAACCGCGTGTATCTTCAATGAATCCGCTGATCAAGTTATTGTTGGAGGCATCGAAAATTTGATCAAAGTATACGATCTTCGTAAGAATAAGCTTTTGTATACAATGCCGGGACATTTTGACACCATTACTGGTTTGGCTCTTAGTCCCAACGGAAATTTTGTCCTATCAAATTCGATGGATAATTCACGTATGTTTCTTTTTTTAAAAAAATATCACATTCCATTCATTTGAACACTAATTTTGTTTCATAGTATGCATTTGGGATATTCGTCCATTTGTACAATCTGATCGCTGCACAAAAACATTGACGGGACATCAACATAATTTTGAGAAAAATCTTTTACGTTGTTCTTGGTCACCAAACGGAGATCGTGTTACTGCCGGCTCGGCTGATCGTAACGTATATATTTGGAATGCTTATGATAAACGAATAATTTACATATTACCTGGCCATAATGGATCAGTCAACGAAGTTGTTTTCCATCCAAACGAACCTATAAGTAAGCAATGTTAATTGAATTATTGCTAATTTTTTTAACAAATTAAATTTCTATTTCTTTACAGTCTTATCGTGTTCAAGCGATCGACAATTGTTTCTTGGTGAAATCGATCCATAATCATTTTTCATCATAGAACATTTATTTTTTATTTTTGTGGTTATAAATACATCCATAATACATTCATAATTAAAAAAGAATTCATAATTCTATTGGTTTCAAGACGCATGCGTCATTAGAGTTTTGATATTCATCTATTTGTTTTCACATTGAAATTGACATATTGATTCATTGAATAAATAAAATTGATTATATAATGTAAAAAACAAAACAAAAAAATGCGTCCTTCAAAATTATGGTCAATCTATCAATTTATTTGCAGTTGCGGTATTTGTCGAAAAATTAAGGAAAATAATATCATCTTCTACCTAACAATAACAATCATTATTATCATTGTCTGCTATTTGATTGGTTTTCTCATCACTTTTTTATTGTTATTTTCTTATATTATCTGTAAGTTTAGGTATAAAATCTGTCACCTTTTAAGTTTTTTTTTTGATTAAATTGTTTAGATTATATTTACAACCTTTGTGATAAGCTATTATATAATCCCTATAATCCCGAAGATAGTCGTGTGAATGTTCCAACACCTAAATCATATGGTCTGGATTATGATAACTTATTCTTAAATGCTAAAGATGGCACAAAAATTCATATGCAATTCATCAAACAACCAATTGAAACCGCTAATAAATGTATTACTATGATTTATTTTCATGGAAATGCTGGTAATATCGGCCATCGTTTAATCAATGCAATAGAATTTCATAAACGATTAAAATGTAATGTTTTGATGGTAGAATATCGTGGGTACGGCTTTTCGGAAGGACGACCATCTGAAAAGGGCCTTTACCAAGATGCATTAGCTGCTATTCAATTTGTAAATAGTTGTAGACAAGTTGATTCTTCAAAAATTGTTCTATTCGGTCGTTCATTAGGAGCTGCTGTAGCCATTGGTTTAGCTGATAAAATAAACAGGAATTCACGACTTTCCCATCTTCGACCTATGGCCATGGTAATTGAAAATACTTTTACTAGTGTGCCTGACATTTCTCGCCATTTAATCGCCCAACATACACCTGATTGTCCTTTTTGGATTATGCGTTTTTTTCAATTCATGCCGGATTGGTTCTACAAAAGTCGATTCAATTCTATCGACAAAATTTCCCGAATAACTGTACCGACTATTTTTATTTCTGCACAATTGGACGAATTAATTCCACCGAAGATGATGGCTAAATTATTCAAAGTAAGTTGATTTTAAAATCTGGAACCGATTCGAAAAAAGTTCAAACATACATTTCTATATAGAATTCCCCAGCCATTTACAAAGAATTGCACACATTTGAATCTGGAACGCACAACTTTACTTGGAAATGTCCTTCTTATTACGAAACTATTGATCATTTTTTGAAAACTATCCTTGAATTAAAAGCCTTGATGGTGTCGACCGAAAACAATACTTATGATACTCCCACCGATATTCCTAGTTATCAATCTATTGATTTGGAAGCTATCGAAAAAATGCCTTTGATTGCTCAACAAATTCAAAACGATGATCCTTCCAATAATGAGTCAAATAGAAAATAAATTCAGAAGATTAAAATTCATCATTTAAAATCCTTAAAAACTTTGAATCTGATTATTGTATTTCTTAACCATATGACAAAGCTTGCACAATTCATTTAGCGAATGTTGTTCTAAAGTTCGATGTAAAAGATGGCACCACAAGACGGCGACCCACTTGTGGAATTTAAAACAATGTCGACATCTAGTGATTTTGTAAAAATCTTCAAATTTTGTTTCGAAATTAGTTGATAATTGATTTTCTTGTTTCCACGTACATTATAATAAAAAACAATTTTGACTGTAAAATCTTATTTCAAAGTGCGGAAATTATTTTATTCATTTATATGGATTGCGATATCATCATTATAAGTCATAAAACAATGTTAGAGAGAGAGATAGCAAGAATATCTAGACATTAAAATACAATAAAATGATAATTGGAATGATTCAAGTTCTGGACATTGGTCTGTTGCTTGTAAACAAATGTGATTGGTAGATTATAATGGTAGATCTAAGAGTAGAAACATTCGTGCAGGAAAATCATCAATTTTGATAATGATGATCAATTTAAATAGTGTATTATGGCTTTGGTCATCGTTGTTGGCCAATTATTTTTCATTTGACCATAGAAATGTTGCAAATTCTTGTATTGTGTAGTCTTAAATTTATCTGACCAATATAGTCAGGAATATTGCATTCATCATGAACATTTCTGGATAAGTAAATTAATGATTAAGGATAAAGATAGGGACAAAAAGCAATAGATCAACAATCGTACAATTGCAACATTCTAGAAATGATAATTCAATGGTGAGTGAAATCATTATTGGGCATTATGGTCATCGTACATCTTAGATCATCAATGTCAGTGTTTTTTCTTTTCTTTTCTGGTAAACTGGTGTACTATGTGGGCATTTTGGAATCACAATTTATCTTAAATAGGTGAGTCATCTCGAATTGCCATTTGGGTAAGAATCTCAAAAGTTTGGTTTTGTTTGCATTGAATGATCGAGGATTGATTCAACATGTGGAAATATTTACAAAATGATTTTGATACAGGATGCCTGGTTGTATCGTGCTCATTAATTTGTTTATATTCTCAAAATAGAGGACTAGTGTGTTTAATGTGTAAAATATACAAAATATAAGAAAAAAATGAAATTTTTATATAAAGATGTGTTAATTGTATTACATCTAATGTTATATCAATCAAATAGAATAACGGGACAACTTGTTAACTGTCATCGTTTTCAAATGATCAATGAAAAGAATTGTGTATATCTCTGTGTGTGACTGATAATGATACTATACTGTTGATGTTATAAATTAATAAATAATTAAAAATTAAAAAAGAATGGGAGATGAAAAGTTTATTTGAATTTGTATTATTATGTGTGTGATAAAAAAAGAATTGTGAGAATAATTGAATAAGAGGCAAGGATATGTTATGTTATTTGGATCAAGGTATTTGAATATATTCAAATGATGTATGTGTAAATATAAATTGAAAAATTATTTTTTGGTTTATAAAGTGAATTCAAAGGTCATTATTGAGAAATAATTTTTAAACCAATATTGTGATGACAATAATTTCTTCAATACACAATCACTGTTTGTTCTATTAGTTACAAAATAAAGCTTGATATTAATGAGGATGAAAAAAATTGTATGTGGACAACATTGTAAGATATAATAAATTTGGTAGTTGATTATGATTAGTGCAAAACCCTGTTTTGTGAAGAAAAAGATTCTGGAATGAATATCGGCAAATACCAGATCCAAATCTGAAGAAAGCGATGGTTTCAATATTGAGTTTCAATGGATGAACGAGAAAAGCCAATATGACGGCAGCATTATCATATATTTACCACTAAAATCAATGCGCGTTAATTAAACGTTCGATATTTAATGCAGATGAATTATGAATCGATGCATTAGATAGTGATGGACTTGTACCAGATGCGTTAGAAGCAGACGCTGATGTTACGACTGCCGAATTCGATGATAGATTCATGGTTACCGTATTCATACCAGATGTTCGCTTGAATTTAGCGCGTCGATTTTTGAACCAGAATTGAATGTTTTTCGGCTCAAGCTTAGGAAATTTTTGTCTATAAGGCATTTTATTTAATTCGTCTGTGTAGCGAACGATTTGACTATGAGCTGGATGTGTATTGCTCATGAACCAGCTTTCCAATCTGGGGACCTAATTCAGGATTAATAAATTAATATAAAGCAAATAAGAATAATGATAATCATACCTCAGACATTGGATCGATAAAAGTACGACTTCTTCGAGTCCTCCGCCCTTCAGGACTTTCAGGATTATGCGATGAATGACCACTATTGTGATTGAGAGCCGATAATGAACTGGTTAGACTATGCGATGTCAATGAATTATTATGACTACAATTATTATTATTATTGTGTGTCGTTTCAGTATCATCATCACTTTCATCTTCAATTGAATTGCAATCACTACCATTTCCGCTTACAGCACTGCCACCATAGTCACGTGATTCAATCTTAAGTTGTACGTCCGGTTCTAGTCGTAAATCACTAACATCGCTCAAATCATGCCGTTTCAAATCGTCTACAAATTTAAAGTCATCACAATCATCGCCATCATCAAGCATTTTATCTTCGATCGGTTGATGGGGACTATCGGACAATTTTGTTGACATACATAATGGATTACGAACAGACAAATCAAGTGTCTGTGTTTCTTCATGCGAATCATTGTCTTCATCAAAGCTATAATAATCATCGAGATTGGATCCATTTCGAGATGCATTAGACATAGGATCGTCATTACATTTACCACTTGCGCTTGCATCCGAACTGGCTTTACCCGGGCTGTGATTACCGCCACCGTTAAGAAAAAATTCTGTAGCCAAAGCATTTGCGAACGAATGATTACTTAAATTCGAATCATTTGATACGAATTTCAATTCGGCTCTTTTATGGGCCGCACGAGCATTTTTGAACCAATATACCACATTGTTCACATCCAATGGTTTACGACCTTTTCGAGATTCTAACGAATTAAGCTCTTTTACATATTCTTGTACTTGACTACGAGACGGATGACGATTCTCTGCAAACCATTTATGCAATTTTGGAAGTTCCAATTCGGGATCAAATGAAGTACGGATTCGTGTTCGAGAGCTGGTACCCGATGAATGATGATGGCTCGAATGGGAATTGTGATTTCCACTACTATTTTTGCTATGTCCAAAAGGTTTTTCCTGGCTTGAACAACTATTGCTACTAGGACCAACGATATTTCCGTTTACGGGCGAAGGACGAACCGCAGCAGCAGCTGCTGCCGCAGCAAGCGATGGATGTAGTCCAGCAGCTGCTGCCGCTAATGTTGAATCAGTGCCATTGGTTAGATTATTTATGTCCATAAATAATGGATGATTGGCAGCAGCAGCAGCTGTTGATGCTGCTCCTGGTGATGGATTTCCAGACCGTAATCCAGATACTGAGACAGAATGCTGTTGAGCTGCCAATGCGAATTGCCGATACTGGTTGAATACTTGTTGTAGGTACCATTGATCAAATCGGCGACGAGCATCTTCATTTAATTCTAGCTGTTGTTGTTGTTGCTGATCACGACCTCTTATCAAAGAAGAAAGTATTTGCTATTTTAGGCAAAGATTAAAAAAAGAGATAAAAAGATGACGAAATCAATAGAAATTCATGTAAAAATAACACTTTTAAAAAATGAAAAAAGTGTAAATTGACAAAGCTGATCACAAGGACAGCAAAGTTTGAGAAAGAAAATGAAAAACATGCAAATTGATTGGGATAATTTTCCAAAAAAGGCTCGATTGCTGTATTTTTTAGATAATAAATCGGATTTAGGATCATATTCATACATTAAGTTCATTATTTCTGAGTTCTTCATTAAAAATGTCTGATTCAGACACAATGGAAGGAATGAAGTTTTCCATGCTTCGAAAGAAAAAATTGATGATTGCTCTAAATCGTTCGAACTATTGCAGATGATGATAATTATGAAAAGCAATCTGGACAATTTCAACGACAAATACGATTGTCTTCGATATATTCACAAGAATATGATTAAAACATATTTTAGCCCATCATATATTTCATATAATAATGATGGCTACAAGTTAAAAAAAGTTAAAAACTTTAATGATTATGTATAAAACACTAAAATTTAACATGTGTGAATTTTGATCATCCAGAAAATGAAATGAGGTAATTCTAACTTCTGTCATTTAATATAAGACAAATCCATAAAACATAAATTCAAGTGGTAGTGGTAATTCATTTCAAAATTAACAAAGGTGACATAAAACATTCAGCCATTTTTTTATAAAAAAAGGTTGTGAGATTAGCTTTTTCACTATTCTATTTGTCTAAAGTTTAGGATGATAACATGATAAAATACAAGGTTTTTTTATACTATACATACAAACAAAGTGCGAAGATTATTTGAAAATTAACAAACACATGTGTATGAATGCACGCTATCGGCCATGACCACTGATGATCATGGAATTATAAAATCGATTTGAATTGATCAGGAAATTTTTTTCTTCATAAAAAAGAAAATAAAGAAGATATGATTGCATTGCATTACATTCGAGGTCGAAAAAACAATATTAAACGATAATGAACATCAATTGTAAAATTGAGATAATATCGCGACCTGTATAATATTTGCCTATTTATTGACTTGTTTGAATTTTATTATTTTGTTTTATGGATCGGCTCGATTTCGGAAGAGTCAAGGTAATGAAAGATGGGAAAAAAAGAAAAAAAAATTTCACTTTTTATTTGATGATTGGATAGCATTGTCTTTAGTAAACAAAATACCTAAAGCAATCATGTAATTAAAATTTATTATTGAAAAAATTTTTCACAAAAAAAAATTTCTTTTTCTATTGTTAGACGACTTCATTGGATAAGATGTAAATAGACAAAATTTCTGGTAAGGCTGTCCTTTCGATTTGATTTTCATCAAATTGCCAAAAAAGAGCCAATATTAATATAAGATTACAAAGATGATGAATTATGATTATCATTCAAAGAATCGTATAAATGCAGAAATATAAAAAAAGAGTTAATCACAATCCTATTAGGTTTTGTTTGGCTTCAATACAACAGAATCATTTTTATCATCACAATAGAAAAACGGCATAAATTTTTAAAATAAGAAAAACCTATGGTTTTGAGTTAAACTGTCCGAAACACCGAAGATCGGATTCGTTTTTGAATGAATTTTTTTCGGTTGTTTATGTTGTTATTAAATTCTATTCACTAAAGCTAGTAAAATTTGATAGAAAAATAAACCTTTTCTTACAAAATTCAAAACAAATAAGCAAAGAAAAGAACATTAAAATTTCAAGTTTATTTTCCAAAGATTTTGTTCAAAGAAAGGTATTAGACTTCAATATAAGATGATGATGATGATGAACATGTAGATGACTGGTGAAGGATCCATCTCATAATCATAAAAATAGAAATAATAAAAATTCAATTTCATTTATCATAAGACTTTCACTACCTTTAGTAAACAAGAGATTCAAGGCAGCCGTTTTTTTCATTTTTCGTACACTCTCAATATTTTGTATATACAAAAACACGCACAACAAGAAAAAAAATGAAACCCACAGAATTTTCAATTAGCTTGGTTTTAACTTTGATTAAAATTATTAATATTTGATCAATATCTATTTTTGGTTGTCTTTAACATTGTTTCAATCAATCTGAAACCAAATAATTTGGATGAATAATGTGAGCATTGAACGACAATCCGATTGTAGAAACCAGAAAAAAATCAATAACAAAATCAAAATTGAATTTTTTTGTTTTTGTGGCAAAAAAAGATGTTTTTTCCAATAATAATAATGGAATTGGTTTCTGGTTTATGTTGATATTGTTTTTTGTTATCATTTTGATCATCCACATAGAAAAAGTTGAAAACCAGTCAGTCATGTACTACACTAAAAAATGACGAGAACAAATCACAAAACAAGGTGTGAAAATATTCTCTGGATGAAAAATTGAAGAAAAAAACCCGAAACAAATATTCGAATATAATTTTGTTGAAAGCAAATCGATTTTGTTTTTCAATTCAATCACATCTTTTAAATTAAAGTTAAAGAAAAAAAAATATGAATGGTTCGTGATTTTTTGTTTTTTTTTCGATCAAAACAAGAACAATAGATTGATGAAAAAAATGATGATTTATTGATTACATCAATCGGATTGAAATTTCAATATTCTAATTGGAAAAAAAATTTATATTTTCATTTTGAAAACAGGAAAAAACCCTGAATTTCCTAATTAAAATCTTATAAATGATGATATAAATAGTAATGAACTATTGTTCATCGTAAAAAATGGCTCATCATCTGATTTTTTTGCCCGCCAGTACTGGCAACAATTCATTGAAATTATTCGGAATAATTTTTGTTTTCCATTTTCATCATTTCAGTTATCATTATTATTTATCGATAATAAGCAAGATTCTTCATTCTTCGGTCGTGTGTCTATTTTGAGCAGAAAACAAAAATCATCATCCTAATCAATTGTCAAAAAAAAAGGGAGAGAAAGAAAAATGTAACAAGACGAATGACAAATGTTCCAACTAATTTGTTGACAAATTTTGAGCATTAGGATCGATCAATGAAAAAAAATTGCAAAAACGGTATCTTGTCAATTTATGATTCTGTTGTTGTTGTTGTTTCAATTCGAAACCATTGAATCAATCTAGAAAGTGAAATAGAATGTATGAACTAGAATCTAGTGAAAAAACATGATGATGGAAGGACGAAATCATTATTATTATTGTTTAACTAGCAATCATTATAGCGAATATGATAAAAATAAAATGATTTTCAAGAAACAAAGGTATTGTTTGTTGGTTATTTGGTATTTGGTAATGATTGTAATTGGCAAAAACAGCTAAGAGAAAATCTTCCCTGACATTTGATCAACATTCAACGAGGAAGAAAAGAATTTTTTTTTTGTAGAAAATCAATAAATCAAGTAAAAAATGGCTTAGCAATCTTTCATACAATAAAATAGAACAAAAAATCTACAGGTGTTTACATTCATCGATGATCATTTCTTTCAATTGTTAACCAAAAAAATAAATAACTGTTACAAGGATTAATGAAACAGTACAATTAAATTTTATCAACGGAAAAAATCACTGATTAAATCACTATTGACCAATCATTATCATCATCATCATCGATAGCGGATGATTGAAAGTTTTAAAGATGTGAAAATTGCTGTTTACTTTTTTAAATATATCGAATCAATGTGTGAAGAAAAAATTCACACGCAATACATAGGTAAAGAGAGAGAAAAAAAAAGTTGCCGCCAAAGTTTACAAAAGAATTTGATATAATTCGTTTCGTTCAATCATTTAGATTGAAGATAAGCGTATTGATAATCAATAATCAACATAGAGAATAAGAGAAATAAGTGAACGTTGGATCATTTTCGAATTTCGCGTCTAATAACACATTTTCTCTCTGTTTATTAAGAGTAAGCAAATGAGAGCGAAACTCTTGCCATCTTGATGTATTTTTTTTTTTCTTTTCCTCTCTCTCTTTTTTATCCTTATTACGACCCTCTTATAATGATGAAGATATTGGATGCTTCGCGTTCGAATCAAGAGCCATGTGAATTTTCAAAAAAAAACTATATATGTTGATGGTGATTAAAAAGCAAACAAATTTATCTGATTTTGTCCTGTTTACCATGATCATCATCATCGTCATAGAATTGCCGCCACTAATAATGATGATCGTCATCATCATCATTTTTTTGTTGTTGTTGTTGTTGTTATCATCATCATCATCATCATCGCATCATACAGCATCGATCGATTGACGACGACCGACAGTGAAGAAAAATTATTAAATCCGAATTATCACACCGACATTTACTTGTAGAAAACATACATTTCGGTTCTTGAGAACGTAGAGGATAACAAAAAAAAAGAAAAAGAAAAAATAATGCTATGATCGTTTCAAATAATTTTTTCTCTTTGTCATTTGATTATGATGAGAAGATTAGAATAATCTAGATATAATTAATAAAACGCCAAAACAAAAAAAAATGGTGGGAACCGCTGTTCATATTTTATTTGATCCGGCTAGCTTTGTCATTATTAATTTTTATGATAAAATTTATATCGGCAATTTTACCAGTTGAACGGGTCGAATTAAGATAATGCGAAGAAAGCAAGAGAGATAGAGAGAGGGGGAATTTTATTTCAACTTACCTGATCGATGGAAGATCCGGAATTATTGGTGGTCAGCAAATTGTATGAATGTGCTAGTAGCACTTGAAGAAGTTTATCCTTAAGCTCGTGTGCAGCACTCATTCGTGGCCTGTCCGATTAATGAAAAGGATACGAACGAATAAGAAAATAAAGACACAATTAATTAATATTCAGTTAATATACAATCAATCATTGTTAATTATATGATGTTTTTGAGCAATTACAAATCGATGCTTCTAGCGGACTTTATATCTTAATTGTACAATAGGTCAAATTATTATAAAGACTTCAACTATAATGATGGTATGAATTAATTGGTCTAATTATTATCAGTTAATCGTTAATTAATTTATGCACAATTAAACAAAGAAAGAATTCTATATGACATGTTATCTTATATAATAGTTTTCTATACTACTACCACTATGGTACTGGTACAATGAAAGCAAACGAGAATTCTGTTTCAGAATAGACTCTGGCAATTTTGGTGCGTGCGACCGATAATCAAATCGTTTCGCATGGATGATGAACGACAACTTCTCCTTAATTAACTCATCATCATCAAAAAAAAATTCATTTGAAGGAAAATAATGAAGCTAGAATAAAATGTACATACCTGCATAGACGAATTCGTAATGTGATGAATGAACAGATATCACCGAATAGATCGCCAATAGTGATTTCGCTGTTGGTCAAATCGCTAATTTGATCCAATGTTAATGGTTTCCAATTACGAATTTGTATGAAGGCTGAAGGATAGTGATGAATAAAGAAAGAGAGAAAGAAAAAAAGATGTGAGTAATGAATTATTCAATCGATTTAATTGTAATCATAAACCATGAAAGTGATGATTTCATTATATAATGATCATAATATAACTTAATCATCGATGCGATATTAGGATAATGGTTATTTATTTAATCGATCAATCATTAGCTGTACCTGACAAGGTTTAGATCATATTCAAAACAACAATGACATTGATGTGATGCAAATTTAGTATGATGTTTATTATCATAGAAATTTTGTTGATCAGCCTGTTAGAATGAGTAACACTTATTCAATGAATTTATTAACTAACCTGGACTAATAAATAATGATGTCCTGGCTGAAGGAAAACTTAATCAAAAATGGAATGACAAAAAACAACAAAAATGGTGAATATCAACAAAGTGACGGAATGAATGATTGACTTGGATATTTGCGCGCTTTTCACATTCAAACAGAGATTCATTGAATAGCGATTGAGAAGTTGAAAAAAATTATTTAAATCAGCATCAAAACTTTATGCTGCTAAGGCAATTTTTGTTTTGTTTTATCTGCCATCCATGTTAAATTTGAAAAAAGGCGGGCAGGTAAGGTATCAAATGATGATGATGATGAGACACAAAAGTGAGAGAAAAAGAGAGAGAAAGAGATACAGAAGTTAGCATCGTCGGTATAGCTTTTTATTCTCAATTTGCTTCGTCGCCGATAGTAAAGCCACATCAACTCAACATGAATCGATATACATTCATTCATACATGAGAAAAAACAACTTTACAACCAGCCTTCTTGTTGTTGCTGTAATATCAATGAATGAATGAGATGCTAAAGCCAAGAAAAACGAAACAGGAAACATTTTATGTTTTAGGGCAATGCAATGCAAAAATAAACTATTGGATGCTCTTTCTCTTCATTCACATCTCGATATCGATCAAACATATACATAAAGACAGACAATGAATAGAAGGCACACCTCTTCAATCCATGTCTATGCGTGTACAATGATCATCATCATTATCATCGCAGCCACAGCCTATCGTTCTCTCTCTCTCTCTCCCACTCATTTATTGATAGAGAAAAACACCAGAAATAAAATGATCGTTTTAGAAGCCGGGCGCCATGCAAAGAAACAAAATGAATGTAGGTGTCCAAGTGTGTGAGGAGCATCAAGTGCAATATCATCAACAAAACAGGATCAGGATGAAAATCCTGGCATTGCAAAAAGTTTGGTCACTATAGTTGATTTGAGGTGTGTTTGTGTTAGGTCAATTTTTTATGCTATTTTAAATCTGATACAAAAAAAGTACATCCATATTATATTTAAATCAAATTTTGAAAAGAATAGGGAGAATTTGTCGCCAAAACAAAAAGTATGATTATGATGAACAAATAAATAGCAAAAAAATGTTGGCCAACACTATTACAACTACAAGTGCCACTTTTGACACAATGTGATGAAAGTGAAAATATACGATAAAACGGATATTTTTCTGCTAATTTGGCATATTCTCGATATTCGCTTTATGTCAATAATAATAATAATAATAGTAATACAGGGACAACAAATCGACAACAACAACAACAAAAAGGCCAAATGGAAACAAAAGGTGAACAAAATATGTATAGCATCATTGAACAATCAATTAGATGAGCAATAGCATAAAAAGTCAGTCATACACACACAATTCACAAACCACATTCAGACATACACGGGTAGCATTTGTACGTCATTGACAAATCGAACAAAATATTTACGAAAAATCGAAAACAACGGACGCCATTTAATTTCATCAAATGGTTTGCATAATGAAAAACAAAACAAAAAACTGGATGAATGTTCCAACAACAAATATGTATGTTTGTGTATATTCTCTCTCTCTCTCGCTTTCCTTTTCCTATTCATTTGTTTGACAAACAAAATGGAGAACAATAACAACAAACACAAATCTTGATCAAGTTTCGGCATTTTGGTCATTGTTAAATGTTTGGTAAGTGTGTTTGCTGTATGTTTGCATGAAATAAAAACTGAAATCGTTCCACACAATATCTGTCACATAATTTCTTTTTTTACATCAATTTATTATTGTTGTTATTATTTCAATCACTGCATTTTACATATATGGGCAATAACTCATTTATATGTGTGTAATAGCATATCGAACATCATTTGAAGATCAATATGGCTACAATGAAAAAAAAATCAAAATTCGATTCATGATCTAAATTCATTGAATGAATGAATAACTAAAAAGGTCATCCTGTTCATTAACACAATTTAATAATGATGACTATGACGATGAGGTTAGATAATAATATTATCATCACAAAATGATGAAATTCATTCATTTATTCCACAAACAATCAGACAAACAAAACAAAAAATATTGTCATATTAATTGAACGGAACCGATTTAAGTGAAAGTTTTCTGTTTTCATTCAACAACAACAAAAATTGCCCAATTTCTGCTAGTGATTCTGTATGGCTTTTTTATGATTGTTGTGGTCGGTATTGTGTGTATCTATTATTTACCAGACAAATATGAAGTCATACAACTATCAATTTGTTGCTCATTTTATTGTTAGATCAAACAATGTATAACATTGTTGCCATAGGATTTGATGAAGGAGACAAAAGCAAAAAAAAATGTCATAAATAAATGATTTAGAATTGTCTATTGAATTAGAATCAAAATAAATGATACGCATCAATTGCATGCACAGACAATCGGCCATCAACAACAATAATAACAAAAACGAAATCAAACACTGAATAAAACATAAATGAATTTAGTCATTACAATTGAATGGCTGAATAATCCTATCTGTCCAATTTTTGTTCCACCAATTTCCAAAGCCATTATTAATATAGCAAAATAATAATTATTGTAAAGAGATTGATGTAGGAAATGGTAAATGAAATTTTAACATTGATTGACAATCAAAAAAAAACGACAAATTATTTCTTTTGTTATTTTCAACTGAAACATATGAATGAAACAATCAAAAGTGAGTCTGTATATACGATGTGATTGACTATTAGAATTTTTATTTTCTTTTTGATGGTCAAACATTATATTCCGGATCATTCGCCATTAATCATCATGATATTGACCTAACCAAAAAAAGTATGAAATTATAATAAAGTCGTAAAGTTTGAATTGTCTATAAGAAAAGACCAAAAAAAAACTTGTAGCTTTTTATGATGAAATAATAAGTTTCTTTATCGTTTGTACAAAAGATAGAGATCAAGTCTGTAATAAATGATTTTTATTCTGTTGTTGATTATTTGGTTATGTTTCATGGTTATAGATATCAATCACATTTAGCTCAAGAAGAGGAAAAAAACTCATTGTCAATGTCCGGCAGGATATACACGAGCCATCATATATCGCGTACATCAGTTCGGGTGACCCGAAGGAATGACCGATTCATTTGTTCATTGAGACAAGAAAAAAATATCAATCATTATTCGATTGTGACTGAAAGAAAAAGGAAAGAAAAAAAAAGACTATTGCCAAGATGACGATTGACGACAAATCGATCGATCGATCGAATGAACAGGATTTCGAGTTAATTTAAGTTGAGATAATAGCTAGAGTAATGGTCGATGTGACCACACATCTTTTTTTCAATCATTTTTTTTCTCTCGTTACGTTTCATTTCATAAAAATATTTGTCAATCTGATCAATAATTTTTTTTCGTTGAGAAAAAAAAACACAGATTGATCATCATCATCATTATTGCAAAAACAAAAACAAAACAAAAAAAATTATTAGACGTATGCATGTTTGAATGCAAACATCATATAAAATACGATGACTTTTCCACAGCTAGGCTTCGAATATATTATTCCACTCTCATTTCCACCAACAATATTCATATAAATTGTAATTGTAATAATCATAAAAAAAATGATAGCCTATAGGCCTGCTATTGTCATTTCGATTCATTCTCTTATCGATATCATCATTTTCTTCCATTCATCCATCCATTCATTTATCGTCTCTCAATGCTATTTGGAATTTGTGTGTTGTTGTTTGGATTTTTGATCATAGCGACAAGCGAAAAGAAAAAAATCTCATCGATTACGGCAACGACCATAGTTATAGATGTAGATAAATAAATGAAGATTTTCATTTTTTTTTCTTTGTGGTCAAAAAAAAAAATCTATCGTTGCCAAATAAATTGATTACATTCTCATCACATTCATTCAATACGATTTAATTATGATCAATACAATATAATGGCTTGATCGAAATCAAAAAGAAGGGGGAAACGGTGAAATCAAAATAATTCAGCATTCATTTTATATTCATCTATCTATTTAATCTATATTCAAATGAATGAATGAATAAATAAATAAATCAGACAAGCAATCAATAAAAGAAACAAAGCGAAAAAAACTATTCAAGAATATAAAATAAAAACAACAAGCAAAAAAAGGGGATTGTTGTTTTGCCCAACAAGTCGATGTGTTTGATTGTTCTGCATAGCAAGTTTTTTGTTTTGTTTTTGATTGATAATATTATCAATCCAAATATTATTTGGTGTGACAAGATAGGAAACAAAATATCAAAAAAAAGAATAGGATGAAAAAAATATGAATAAAATAATGAGATAGATGTAAACGGACATATAGAGATATTATAAAGTCCAATCAAACGAATGACAAAACAACGACAAAAAAAAATGAAAAAACACTATAAATAGATTAGATTTGTTTTTACCAAAATGAAGACAGCAACTTGAATGATTTTTCCTTATCTCTGGCCACTGTGTACTCAATTAAAAGTGACGAAAAAAATAAATAAAGATACTTTTCATTCAAATTCAATTTTTTTTTTGTTTCTTTTCACTTCTTCATTCTTTTCTTACCTTTCAAATTCTATTGAAATATATTATTGAAAATAGTTTTTGATGATCATTATGATCATGTATCTTTTTTGGAAATAAATAAATACATGACAACATGACTGGACTTGA